AAATATTTGACGCTGTTCTGACGTCATATTTGAACAGCCATTGAGCCCTATTTCTGCTAACTCCTCAGGGTTGTAATTTATTTCCGATGCACACTCCCTATTTATTGGTTCCCCACCAGCTGTCGGCGTTGGCAAGCCGTATTGACTAAGAAGGTTCCCTCCTATACTTATAACTATATCTTGTATACCTAGCAAAGACTTATTATGGCAGTCTTCCCGTACTTGGTCAGAAGTTTCTCTATTATTATTTTCCTGTCTGAAAAAATCTTCGGCAAACGCGTCTTTATATTTTTGCCACAACTGCTCAGCGTCCGATAGGCCACAACATGTCAATAAAACAAACAAATGACGAAGACGATGTGGACTATCGCTGACGCATGCTTCGGCTAAAGCATCATCCCAATGCTAATCGCCATCTAATAAAAGCCATGCGCGGCAAGCAGCCTGAAATGAGGGATATTCTATATCGTCCACTTTGCGGAGATCAGTAAAAGAAGTAGGCCCTCGCACTATGTGAAGAAGAAGGCGTAAATAATAACACTGCATTATTTGGGTGCACCGTGTATACTCTTCCAATCACGTGTTCTTTAAAAATGCCGGGCTCACCTTCTACAGCAGTTCCACGTCTCCTGCGTTTAAAAACACCTTGCTGCCTGTTGTAAGTATAATAATGTGGCACTTCATTGTACAACAAAGACTTGGCGAAATTGTCTCTTTCGCAAAGGCGAAAAAATGCGAGCAAGGTGGTTTGTCTCGGGTTATGTCATGTTAAATCGGATCTCCGCTATGGTCTGGAAATTCTGCACTTATGACACTGTCTATAGCGTCGGGACGAATTTTTTCTTCCAGCAACAAAAGAATGTGCGCATGGGGTAAACCACGCTTTTGCCACTCGACGCTATACAGAAAACACAGAGTTGAACCGAAAATTTTCTCCTTTGTAAGTAGATTAATCAAAACTTTGAGTTTCGAATGAAAAATCGTCACAATAATGTCATAATTAATCTTATACAGAAAATGAGGTATTTGCACAACGCCATCTATCGAATAAAGATATCAACTATCAACATTAGTTCTGATTTTTGTCTTAAGGGGTCGTTGCAAGTACTATACGGAAATGCGTGTTGTTTTACTTCTTGAACTCACTAAATTAATCATATCTTCTGATAGAGTGAACCGATTTCGATGAAACAAAAACTAAGTTATACCTCAAGTTGTGTAGAATTTTTGTATATAAGCTATGTCTGTATTGAATTCGTAGATTTTACGTGATGCGCGCACAAACAAACATATAAACAGACAAACAGACAAAAATGACAAAAATTACGAAAATGGGTTCGGTTAGTTATCCTTTAACACGTTGGCTATTTTTTTTTGTAAATTTTTTCAATGTACAAAAATTACTTTTCTACAGATTTATTATATGTATAGATTAGGAGACATTAATTCTGAACATGGACAGCATTTAATCATTGCAGAGTCAAAAAAGACCTTTAAAAAATTGCTCATTGCTAAGCAACCCCCAAACGCCCACTATTACCTAATAATAATATTTAATTTTTGAGGAGAAATGAGAAATTATTTATCTTGTTAGTTATACTGACCGGCTGCGTTCAATGCTACTTGACCTTATATTCGCTATAATAAGTACAAGTACTTACATACTTATTAAAACTACAGAAAATATAAATTTTGACCTAAGATACTGTTAATTTAAAACTCCATTTATTACAAGTAAATAAATGTGGATTTCAAATACCCATGTAAGGTAAAAACTTACAATTCTTTGAAACTGTCTTTTCTTTAAGAGGTCTTCTTATAAAAAAGAAGAATTTGATCATACATAGAGTGCATCATCACAAGATAACATTATTCTATTAATTAAATTTTTGTTACCTACTTACACCAACTCTACTTCCGTAGCGAGTTCAAATTAACGAACTATGAATGAATAAACAAGTAGATAAAAACGAATGTTTGAAAAACACATGCTATTTAAATATACCTATAGTGTATTAAGTAAGTATAACCTTTTTTACATGAAAGTGGTTAGGCCTTAGGTCGAGAATAGCATATGGCATGCGGGCCATTCGGTTTGGGCCGTTCAGAACTTCAGACTAAATACTCCATATTATTGAACTTTGTGTCTGTATTAGATTAGTTGAATGTTAAGTTTTGTTGATACGTAAAGTACTTACGTTAAATATTGTTGTTCCTACATTGCATGTCAACAATTGCTTAGTAAGACAGGTAGCAGCTGGCGTAGCGTGTTCAAACGTGATAGTGATCATCACTGGCTCGCACAAATGAATGTTCCTATGTGAAATGCATTGCTTTATAACAACTGAAATGCAAACAATTTACAAGGTGACAAGTGTTTAGTTGGTCAACTGTTAATCTATAGAAAAATAATTGAAATGTTTAAAAACATAAAAAATCTATTTTCGAGATACCTATTTATTGTACCTATATTGATATATTTTATTGTTTTGCTTGACTTGGGAGCAAATATTTTGTGCCATCCGGTAAGTTTAACATTACATCTTGCATTGTAGTGGTATGGTCTATCATTTGCTGCAACTTTTTATGCTCGCATTCGCTGCGAATATATTTTGTACGTGTTAAAAATCGTCAAAAAATACATAACTTCCTATATGAATACATAAAAGCTTATGCAAAGCACTCTGATATACGTAACCATGTAAAGTTGTTTGTAGCCGATTACTATAACAATAACGTATTGAGCAATCGCATTGTCCTGAAGAGTTATGATAGTCGAGCAAACGCATCGTGCGATACGTACGACCGTCACTTTCCAACAAAGTCAATGAAGCGCAGAGAAAGTGGCGACCTCAACGTCCGTATACAAACTGCCGACTGCCGTCTGTAAAATCCGCTGACTCATTTAACATTCACACGTCATACTTGCTGAGGTAGAATTTATAGAAATAATATTTTTAAATAAAATATTACAACCGTATTACATGTTCCTTTGACTCTCATTACATTCTACCATTGATTGTCAATGCAAATTATTATATAACTTGACGACTTACAATATAGGTGTTGTTTGACAAAATATAATACCAAGTATTCTTTACCTAATAGTTTAAGTTTCAAAGTGACTCATTTTAAAAGCAAATTTAAAACATTTGCCTAAAATAAATCTGCATTCATTTAGGCAAACATGACCCGAAGAAATGTAAAAGTTAGCAACGGTTTTTGCGAAATCTTAAAAGTGAAACTTTTTCTCGAAATGGTTATAAAAAGCTATGCATGCGGTCACAATAGGTCACAGTGGAACAGTGTGGTACCAGTTATGTGAAAATAGACTAGTTGAAACTCCTGGATCCTGGATGGTTTAAATTATTCGTATTTGAGTACTGTTTCTTTTGACTTGAGACATAATTACAACAACCAATGGGTATTTAGTAAGAAAAAAAAAATACGTACAATCAACAAATTTCTATACCTAAATCTTAAAAATGTAGATGGTAGTAATTGACTCTCTTCTTTTCGAAATTTGTACGTATTTTTATAATTTATTATCTATACTACCTACTTAGAAAGTTTTCTATAGTAACCTTAATTAATTTATAAATTATTTTATCACCTAATTGTTAAAATAACGGACCTTTATGGACGAGTTAAATTACTCGTTTACAGAGGATATCGTGAACAGTAAGAAAGAGAGAGCGCTTTTATGACTTTCACGTTATATGTAAGCGGTACGCTTTGTCATAATCTAGCTAAACCTTAGCACTTTACAATAGGTAGATTGAAGTAGATTCTGTCAAACACATAAAGACTTTCTTTTTTTTTAAATGACATGGTGTGCTATACCTACGTGTAAAAATGTATTTGTTATATAGTCGCTTAGATATTTTTTTAAGTATGTGCCTGCATGTGGGTTGTCTTGTGAAATGCAGACTGAAACAATGTTGCATTAATTCGATTGCAAACTCTTTGCTAGGTGGGTACTTTAAACCGTATTGTAAATACCTACGTATAGTCTGGCTGGATGTGGGTAACTAAATGTGAATCGGAAACTGAAACAAAGTTGTAAATATACAATTAAATCCCAAACTCAAAGCCTGTCGTAGAAAGAAAACTAAGCCCTGACATTTTAGCTTTTGAGTTTAAAATGAATGACACAAAATCGATTTCTCGTTTAAGTTCATACTAACGTATCAATGACCAAGTTCTTTAAAAATACTAAGTGTGTAATATTTGATAGCATGTTAAACATTAATCTTGACATTTTTATATTTATTTTAAATACCTTATTGTTGTTTACGGCCATAGTAGTCGATAAGTACGTTTGCACTTATAAAATTAACAGCCCGTTGTTGTAATTAAAATAGTGTGTGCCTATAAATCATAAAATTAAGTAGATACAGCTAATAAAATTCCTTGTTCTTACTTGAGCATTTACTACGTAAATATAGAGGGCGCCAGAGTAAGCGCCCCTTATATTTGCATAGTAAATGTACCGTTGTGCAATATTTATTTATGCTATGTATCATAATAATACGTGATTATGAGTACTTAGTTACATAAATGGCACACTGAGGCGTGATCCAGATCGTTCGTAATTATTATATAACGTTATATCAACACTGCAAGACTTCAAATGTCAACAATTTGCAACGATATCTCAAACAAAAGAATTGTGCACAATACAGTAATTTGGAAATAGCCTAAATTCTATAGATACCTACAATAAATTCTCTAATTAAACTTGCTTTTAATTACTTTAATTTAGGCACATAGCCGGCGGATGTAAAATCCACATGCAAGATGTTGTTTTTTTTTTCTGAAACTACAACGAACTATAGATTATGCTTTATAATGTTTATCAGTACAAGTCACACTTATTCAAAGCAAATCAATGGGAAATAGCTCGTAATGAATATAACTACAAATTCTTTATTTCACCATTAACAGACCCTGGTTTATTTTACATGGCAGAAACTGATGTAACATTTTCATTGTTACAGATACTTCCCTTCTTCCACGTTCCTTAGTTATGATTATAAGGATACGATGGCTCTTACAATGGATCGCGACTCTATCCTGTTTGATGATGACTTCAGGTAAGAGTTTGGATTTTACCTTATTATACAACAGGCAACATTACTTTAGCAAGTTTAGATTACTCAAAAAGGATCTCTCGTTGCAGGTAGCCCAATATTTTTGCAACAGCAAGGAAGAAATTATCGGCCAGTAATAAAATGGATGCCACCTAACGACGATTGGAATTGGACACTGACACCGCGCAACGAGGAACCCTTCTTTCTTCCTTCTAACTATAATCACACATTACCGCCATCTGCTAATGAGACTGAACTATTGGCCCACATGGCAGCGTTAAAAAGAAATTACTCTCGTCTCCTCTGGGACAACGACAAAAGCAGTAACCTTCCTGTTTTTGTGGAAAAGGCTCTTAAACTCCTCAATCTAAAACAAGTTTATTACGAAGTAGAGCACTCCGTTATGTCTAAGGTGTCATGCACGGCGTGTAAAGCAGGCGCAGGTTTACTACAACATTACATAAGACTCGGTAAAAGCAAAGATGAGATTAACAAGATGATCTATCAATTCTGTGTTTCACTAAAGATTCAATCAGCTCGCGTGTGCGAAGGCATCACGAGATTGTTCGGGGTAAGCATGCACGCGTTGAATCGATCAATAACATGACCTCCTCTTTACTGAAGTACTGTTATTCATCTCACGTTTATCTGGTTTCAGAGTGAAGTAGTGTACGTACTAAAGCGAATTACAATTGGACCAGATGAGATCTGCAGTTTCGTTATTGGAGATGCGTGTGGCGATGTTTACAATCCGTACCACGAGTGGGAAGTAGCGTTCCCGCCTGTGCCAAAACCTGCGATACGATCACTTGAAGCTCCGGTCGACAAAGCTCCAACATTTAAAGTTCTTCAGATTTCTGACACTCACTTTGATCCATATTATGCTGAAGGTATGCTTTAATTGATTTGTTTTAATGTTCATATTTTTTCTTTTATTTTCCAATGGCAATTTTCCCTTTTTTATTATGGTTGTTACAAGACTTTTATCAATTTTAATTCCAGGTGCTAACGCTGAGTGCAATGAGCCCTTATGCTGTCGTGCATCGAGCGGACCAGCACTGACTCCAGGCGGAGGCGCCGGTCGCTGGGGAGACTACCGCAAGTGTGATACACCTAAACGAACCATTGACCACATGCTGAAACATATCGCTGACACTCACACGGTATGTACATATCATGTACAAATCTTATTGGATATTCAGGAACCACATATTTTGTACCTGGTAGAGCGCATGGAAAAAAATAATGACCCCTCAGTTCCTCTGTCTGCCAGTCACATTACTCTACACTACACTCTTGATTGAATAACAAGGTTAAGTTAAATAAGCGACAAGACTGGGGTGCCAATCAGTTTTTGACCTTAAAATTCTCACACTGATTCATTTTCATGTCGTGTTACAGGATATTGACTATATTTTATGGACTGGAGATTTACCACCGCACGATGTATGGAACCAAACCAAAGAAGAAAATTTGAAAGTTCTCCAAGAAACTGTCGCACAAATGTCGGATATGTTCCCCGGAGTACCCATATTTCCGGCCCTTGGAAACCATGAGTCATCTCCTGTGAACAGGTACCTACCTATTACAACTACATCACATATATAGGTACAACGCAATTGGGTCATTTTAATTACAGAGTCAACCTTCATCCAGATCGTTTGGTTCTTGCAATGTTATGTTATCACGTGTTACACAGTAGATGCGTATGTAGGTACTTTTATTGTGTTATTTTAGAAACCAACTTAGGTATTAGTCACACAATACTGCCGGACGGAAATACCTGTCATTCAGCATAAATCATGATTTTATAATTGTATTGTTTTTTTCCATAGCAGGTTTAGATTTGGATTGCTTTTAAGTTCACAACATAGTAGTGTATTGTGTAGGTCAATCCAATAGATAAACCCCTTTAAAACACTTCAAACCTACTTACTTCATTTCTAGTTTCCCGCCACCTTACATCGCTTCTTCGGAACTGAATATCGCGTGGCTGTATGATGAGCTGGACGCACAATGGCGCCGCTGGCTGCCTGCCGGAGTGTCCCACACTGTGCGCCGCGGTGCATTCTACTCGGTACTCGTACGACCAGGCTTTCGTATCATATCTCTTAATATGAACTACTGCAATAACAAAAACTGGTGAGTAGGATCTCTAATAGCACAGACAGACTGACAGACTACTTTTCTATTTTGACGTTTACGGAATAAGTGATTTTGACTTTGACTTTAGCTACCCTCACGCGGTTTCACCCGCTGGTCGGCTCCATTTAATCGTAGCGTGATGTCTTATAGCCTATAGCTCTCAGCAACATTGTAGCTATCTATCAGTAAAAGAATTTTGGCAATCCGACCAGCGGTTCCAAAGATTACCCCCTACATACAAACTTACAAATTTTACGTCTTTATAATATTAGTATAGATAAGTGCACTTTTTCAATTTCTTATCAATTTACAGGTGGCTGTTAATGAACAGCACAGATCCAGCAACGGAACTTCAGTGGTTGATATATGAACTGCAATCTGCAGAGTTCAGTGGCGAAAAGGTTCACATTATTGGGCACATACCACCAGGCCATTCCGACTGTTTGAAAGTATGGAGCCGTAATTACTATGCCATTGTGAATCGATACGAATCAACGATAACGGCACAATTTTTCGGACATACTCATTTCGATGAATTTGAAGTTTTTTATGATCCGAATGACCTTGGTAAGTGAACCTTGTCATCTCGATTGAGCTGCATAAGAGCATAAACGTTATTTTAAACTTGGACGGAAATGCTTAGTTATGTAGGTATCTACCTATTTGCCAGCAAAGTACTTAATACCGTCATTTGTTATTTTTGCAGGTAGAGCCACAAGTATTGCATACGTTGGGCCCTCTGTCACACCGTACTACGATTTGAATTTAGGTTATCGAATATATTATGTAGATGGTGACCATGAAGCTACAACTCGGGTAACTATTAATTTACTACTAAGGTATTATATAATTTACTACTAATGGAATAATCAGGTTAGGATTATTTTAAATAATAACTGTTCAATCCTACTCGATTGCCTTGTTGCTATGATGACCCTATTCTTGGTGCGGACAAAGGTATTAAATTATCATTAGTAACTTGATGAAAATTCAATATAGGTAGAAGGAAATATATAGTACAAGTATAACAAACAAGCATTTATTGTTCACTAACCTGAATTTTTTTTTTCAGCAAGTGGTCGATCACGAGACTTGGATCATGAACTTGAAGGAGGCTAATCTATTTGGATACCCGATCTGGTACAAGCTGTACTCAGCTCGCTCGGCATACATGATGCCAGCGCTGAGACCACAGGACTGGGACAAGTTCATTGACGAAATGACTACCAAAGAAGATGTTTTTAACTTATATTACAAGTAATTGATTCATTTGTTAACCTCTCTATCATGACGCTGCATAGAAGCATAGCTAATGACTATTTATTGAAAGAAAATTAAGCAATGCGTACCTTATTCTTTTCCAGGCATTATTGGAAGAACAGCCCTCGTCGCGGTACATGCGATGGTGAATGTCGCAAGCGACTGGTATGCGACGCACGATCGGGTCGCTCGCACGACCGACGCGCTTTGTGCGGTCTGATTGAAGCCCGCATCGACGGTGCTGCCCCCACGCCACAGACTTGGCGAGCCTGGCTCTACAATGGCCTGTCTGTCTCGTGAGTTATTTACTCGCAACTTAACCACCGCTTTGTATTACTCCTTGTAAATATCGATGTGGAATTATTGGGTCACTATGGAAGTATTGGGTGGAATTATTTATTAATGAGTTTAATACTTAAGCATAGGCGGTTGTGGGCCAATATTTAACCTTTATTGGTAGGTAATTGGATAAGGCTATGTCCAGTGGTAGACAGGAAAGGGCTAACGATATCAATTAATTAAACGATAGACTAAACTTTTTTTTAATAAAAAATATGAATGCTTTATTCTTAATAAGTTAAGTAAGTACGTTGTACATACAAAGACATACTATATGCACTAGGTAGATGCTTCAGATTTGCAGCTTTAAATTTAATGCTTGGTTACATTCCAGATTGTTTATAAAATATTGGATGTGTACCTAAATAGCATAATTTATTGCACTGCCAAATTATGCAAATATCGGCCGGTAAGCCTGAGAAATTCAGACTTCGGTTGGGTCATAAACGTCGACCATATTTTGTCGACTACTTTTTAAGTAGAACATAGCGGTATATGAGAACGATAAAGCAGCCGCATTCCAATAACTGCCTACTGTCACTTGACTTGCTTTTGCACAGCCACAGTATAACCTCTTTTATAAATAGCCCTATTTACTTTTTTACCAATAACAACCCTTTGGACGTGAAGTACCTACCGAAAATCGAAAATGATGGTGGTTTACATGAAACATGTACATACTTATGTATTTATACTTAGTTCATCTGTAAAATTTACCACAATGACGATTTTGACGTTCACAAGTATTTACCTGTAAGGGTCTACCTAATTGAAATAAATGATTTTGACTTCGACTTTCAAATGTATAAAGGCATGTCTAAGGGAATAATTTCTAGTTTAGTACTGCTGTAAATATATTTTCTTGAATACAGAGACGTTCCTTCTGTACAACAAGTATAACTGGTGGTGGAGATAGCCATAAATTTCCGGCGGATCAATAAGGTTAGTAAAATGTAATTATTAACAAGATCATTATCTTTTTTTTCTAGTAAGCACTTGGTGGTAAAATCGCAGAATACAGAAACTTACTTTATAATGGCTAGCGGTGGTGGAAATAAAATATTTTTGAGCGATTGAAGTGTGTATTTTATATGGCAATCCCACGCAAACGACAGGACAATTTCAAAAATTTAAATGTATAGAATTCCAAAATAATCGAATCTCAAAACACTGCTCGGCTTGATCCGATGAGTATAAGATTCTATGGTTAACAAGGCAACCATGCGACTTATAAATATACAGGTTTTTTTTTTCGTTTAAAACTTGGGTTGCCAAGAAAAAAAACCTTGGGTTTTAGACAAACGAAAGAAAAAAGGCTTATCAGATAAAAATTATATTAATCAAATCATTATTCCTTTTCAGAATGTCTATGATAATGCAAATACCTCAAGTGGCGTATCAAATACCAAAGTTCGTGATGGGGCTCGGCTGAAAATATCTTTGAAAAGGAATGTGCAAAGTTAGTAGTACCACCGGGCTTAGTCGAGACGATATTTTATATTTTTCTTAACGTTCGTCCATCGCCTACAATTTACCATAAAGCGTTATTTATTCTTTAGATTATTATCAAATAAACGACGTGCCTTAATCTGTTTTAATATACCTCCCCATAGTGTTAAATCATTTTAATGGTTTAATATCAGAAAACTTTATTTAAGCGACCAATTTCGGTGGATAACTGCCGCAAAACTTTACGACTAAGTACTATGTATTTGTAAATATTAATTTTAACTGTATAATAAATAAGTTTCGATAAAAAGTTGTTTGAATTATCACAATACGGAATGAAATCTAGCTACGGGAACGTATGGATGTAAGAAAAGATATTGTGTTTAAAAGTTTTTTTATTACCAATCAAATACATTGTAATAACACTATTTACATGATAAAAATGAATACTACTAATACATGTCATGAATTTTGGAATTTAAAATTAATAATTCGAAAAAATCAGTATCTATTGACACAGATCGTCAATATTTTAAAATTAAATCTTGAGTATTACGAATTGTGGATAATAAAATTAAAAAGTACACACTTGGTCCCTTTATACTTTGATCCTTCGAGGGGATAAGGTATAAGTAGCTACACTAAACATAAAAAAACACATTGGGTCTTTTCATAAACAAACATTTCAATTCAACTTTTGAATCTTTATCTTTCAGCAGGCGTACTTCAATGTTCAGTACATTACATTATATTTACAAAGCAATTAACAAGCTACACACACTTAATCACTACTTATCTTATAAATTAAAAAGGTTGTTCATGTTACTATAGAAATAACATCACTACGAAACTAGTTGACATAAAGGTAAAGAGACATTAGAGCCACTTGCCACAGCCAGAGGTGTGTAGTGGCGTCTGGTAATCCATGAAGTATTTAATGAATTACTTTAGTGTCAAGAAACGAAGACAAAATCTAAATAACCACTTCTGACTATGCCTAGTGGCATGTGAGTTTGCATAGGGCATTGGTTTGTACCAATTTGATGTCATTTAATTCAAACAGTAAATGAGATTTCACACTACTTAAGGCATTGGGAAGGCGGTAAGTGAACTTAAAAAATGCTGCAGAACATTTACATTTTCTCCATTATCAAGACTACCTACAAGTAATGAATTTTTTTCCATGAAATATTATTTTTGATGGTTAAATCGGTAGTGGTTTTATAATGGCTGGAGCCGTAAGCCTGATTTGCTTGAAAAAGGTTTAATATGAATTGTTTCAAATACTTTCAAAAAAAATACAATATTACCCCAATTCTAAATTCACTAAAAAATACTATCCAGTACATGTCTAGAGTTTCATAAAATTACTGAAATAATTATAACTAATTAGGAGTAGTGATGTATTAAAAAACAGTCTTACTTTTGAGTAATTAATATTCAAATGTTAGTGGACTTCATTCATTGAAAAAAATCTGCAGGAACTTCTACAGGCAGTCCTAGTTTTGTGACATTGTATTTAAATATGAAAGTGAATTTTCAATAAAAATGTAAAATATTTTACTTTTTGGCTATTACTTCTATGTGGGTCTTTTTACCCGACTGCCAAAGAAGGAGGGTAATGTTTTTCGAGTGTATGTAAGTATGTATGTATGTCTTTTCCTTTGTGACCTCCTGTAGCCAAAACGGCTTGATGGATTTTGATGTATGAGGTATCGTTAGATTTGTCTTGATTACGGGAGTGTCATAGGATACATTTTATCCTAAAAGTCCCACGGGATAAAGACATAATAATATTTTTTCTAAATTTCCCTTTAAAAAAATATGTATGCGGTATCATTAGATTCATTTCAATCACGGGAGTAATTAATATAGGATACGTTTTTTCTCAAAATTCCCACGGGAACATGTTAATTCTGCGTCAACGCAAAGCAACTCATGCGTTAGCAAGCAAAAAGATAGGGCGTGGCCTGGCATGCGGCGCGCGGCGCGGTGCGGAGGGGGATATGCTCGAGTATACAGCCCGAATGCGGGCACACGCGTAAGGGCACACGTCTATTTTCGTTAAATAAAAACAGCTAAAAAGCTATAAATAAAAAAAATATTATTAAAAAAACAAAATACCCGACTGCACACTAAAAAAAGAGTAAAACAAGCCCCACAATACAAATTTACTGAATATAATTTATAAATGTTGATGGAAAGCATCGCAGGCGGGGACCACCTTGACCGCCACCAACGAAAATTCTGCTAAATGGTGCACAACAGAAATGACTATAAATAAGCCTCTGTTGGTCCCCGCCTGCGATGCTTTCCATCAACATTTATAAATTATATTCAGTAAATTTGTATTGTGGGGCTTGTTTTACTCTTTTTTTAGTGTGCAGTCGGGTATTTTGTTTTTTTAATAATATTTTTTTTATTAAAGCAGTTTTATTTGTGAAGGACAATGGCAAGGTATACACATTTTCGACATGCAAGTCTTAATTTGAAATACTGAATATATTCACTTTTTCTTAGAAAGCCTATGACTGCCTGTACAAAGTTGTTGAGTTGTTGTTGTTGTTGTTTACATCTTGGTCCACAAACAAATTGTAGATATAAAATAAGCAAACCCGTAGAAATCCTTAGTTAACAGAACCTTATATAAAACTGCCAAACAGACTTTCTACTGACTTTGTGTTGAACAATAAATTCAATAAAGTGATAAAAATGGCACAAAATCAGACATGGGTACTATCCCCTTAATCTCAAGTATAAAAAGTATGAAATAATTTCAATTAATCAACCAAATAAATTCTAATTCCTCTACTTCTTAAAAAATTTCAAATTATGGAATGTTGTACACAAATTATTATTCTAAAATCTAGTTTAAAACTGAGTTGTTTAAAACAGATCACAGAAGTCTACGTAAGTTCTTTCTGCTTTTTTTTGTACCCACAGCATAATCACATTTCTTTCTTTTAGAGGGGCTTGGTGCGTTTAGGTCGTACTGAATACAGCTCTTACCTGGGTGCCTACTGCAGTTGCAGAATCTGCAGAATTGATAGGAGCAAGCAGTATTTGTGCACTCAACCCATTCTTCACCAGTATTTTCTTCTGTTACTTTTGCTGGGTGTGAACACCTCACACATGAAAGCTGCAGACGAGAATCCAGAGATGCAGACTGAAAAAAAATGTTACAATGTAATATAATCCAGCAGCAAAAGATTAGTACTGAAAATTATGACTACACTTACGAAGCATAATTTTACAAGTGTTTCGGAGCATATTCCAACAGGAATAAATTCATATGTGAATGCCGTAATATCTAACTAGTCAGATTCAAAATGATTATGGAATACTTAAGTAAATCTTAAACTTAAAAATTATACTTTTATGTTTTTACATCAGATAGCAATATATTTGTAAAACAATAACTTGAAAATGTTTTATTAAGTAAATGAATATAATTATTTATAATAATTCATTGTGTTGAAAAGTTGCGCATACAATTGGATGGTTTACTAAGTCAAATAAGAATATTTTGAACAGTTTTTACTACCCTTTTTTGTGTGTAAATAAACTGTGCCTTTGAATGATGATTGATGTCCATAAAAAGGAACTTATTGTGGAAGGTATCAAATTTTTCAGTTATAGCAATCTATAATAAGTTTTAGTATCTGGAAAAGACTTGTAATTTCAATCAGAGACTAATAAAGGTTAGTTTGCTTGAATTGTGATAAAATTAAATATAAGGTACCTTGATGAATTTTCTGAAGCGATTAGTTCTTGGTGAATACTGTGGACTGATAGGAGTACTGTTCATAGGATACTCATGGAGTTCGTTGTGAATTTCTCTAAGGCATCCATCAAAAACCTTGGTAGTTTTATTTCTAGAGTTGATATCTTTTATGCAATTCTCTTGATTCTCTTTAACATTTTTCAAATGTTTTCTTATTTCTTGTTTCTTTTGATCATTATTGTGCAAGTTCCAAATGTCATTCCATGTACTACTCACAGAACAGAAGTTGCAAATATCATCATTATTCAGATATTTAAAAATATGTTTTAATGGAGGTATGGCACATTTCTGGTTTAACAATCCTAATATATCTATTTTTTGGTCAGGTCTGGCTAGAATAGGTTGTGAATTTCCTATTTTAGTTTGTGATACTTGTTTAGGTACTGACTCTAGCTCATGTGTATCACATGATAAGGAATGTATTACAAAGTCTAGCTTTCTGCCAGATTTTCTACAAGGACTTAATTTACAGTTCCTTTTAATAGGGGTTATTGGATATGAAAACTTTTGTTCACAAATATTTAATCTGTAGATTAATCTTGTATTCCCACTACTATGAGAGCTGTCTGATGGTATGGATAGAGTAGAATTTTCTTTATCTTCATTCACTTCCAAACTCTGTATTTTTCCTGCAATCCATGTTGTGGGAGTCGGTATTGTCTGTTTCGCAGACTCAACGCTTGAATAGGGTCGTTTGACAGCCCGCCTAGACGGTGGAGTTTCTGTATTGTCATTTCGGGGTTTTAATTGGTTGTGTCTGTAAGTAGATTCCGGCGTAACATATTCTACTTTTATTTGATCAATAAAAGCTGTTGTGTTTACTACTGATTGATCGAGAAAACCGCTCGATAATCCTGAATGCTCCGGTGTAAACGAAGTATGGTATCCACTATCCTCAGCTTTGAAGTAACTTCGATTGTCGAAAGATAGGATAGATTTAGCTGTTTCAACATATTCGGGATGAACATCCATTGTAGTAGATGAATTATCTAATGTTTATTATCGTTTTTCCATGGTAAATGCGAAGGACTACATCATCTTGCACCACTCCGTAAGTGTTTGCGTACATAATAGAACTGATTATCGACTACACAAAACTATGTACATATTTCATTTTTAGGGAGTAAACTTCCAAAACTTAATTTCTATCTAATATCAATAAACACTCCACATTGACAAACACATTCTAACGTTCAAAAAATATTAGCATCACAATCACAACAGCAAATATTCACAACGAACGAATGAATGCATAGAATAGAGTGAATGAAGTGAATGAGTAGAAAAGGTTTGGACTCGAAAAATCGAAAATAATTCGAAATATGAAAACATATTATCATAAAATAAAATTTTATCCTTGTTATTAATTTTAGATAATAAAACCATGATAACACAAACAATCAAACAAATAACATCTTGTTTACTTATTTTTTATTTTTAATAAGAAAATAAAGATTGACTAAATAAAGAGTAAAAAGATTGTAATTATTGTTATACAATTTATAACGACTCCAAAACATATTTTTATAAATCAGTCATCGTATTCATTGAATGCATTAATAGGTGGGCTATGCTATAGCCAACTACAGTGAGTGCTAATGTGTGAGACATGCTAAAGTTTGGGAAAGCCAAGTTTCGGCATGAATGGGTCGGCTCAACCAAAGGATACCACGGCCTCACAGAAAACCAGCGTAAAGCAACCTCACCGTTATGTTTCGGCGTGTGCGTTAAGTGAGGCCCATTCCTTCCCCATCCTTAAATATCCGAAACTCTTATCCTCAAAAAGGCAGGCAGTGGACTCGTAACTCCTTTGGTGTTGCGGCTGTGGTGGTTGAGCGGCTCTGGTTGCTTATCATCAGGCAATGTGTCTGCTCGTTTGCCATATAATATAAAAAAGGGTATGATATATCTGTACTGAATGAATTTTAATTTTGCGTACTTGCACACTAAATAACTGGGCAGACTATAAACTTGGTCAACAAGGTTATGGATTGTTAAATCAATGCAATCTTTTTAGCTTTCAAAATATTACTACGTAGTAAAGATTTCTGATTAGTTGGGATGTAGGTACTACGTTGCGCTTCTATACTAAATTAATCAGACGGTAGCTACATCCCAACTAATCAGAAATCTTTAACACTAACATAAAATTTTGCACATAAGGTAGGTAATGTATTTAAAGCATACATTATACTCTTATGAAATTATTTGATTAAATAAATGAGTATTAGAATTTTATTTTTTAATTGTATTACGGAATCAAGATAGAGAAAAGAAAGATTATGGTAGATACATTCAATCTATGGTTTGTGCCTTCTCTCAAATTGGCGTGCTTTAAAAATATAACTTGTTTCTCTATGACTTTTTGATGGTGTTTTGCTATGATGGCTGTAAAATAATGTTGTGTTTAATTTTTAAAATGTAGTTGGAACCGAGTTCAGTAAATAATTTTTTAGTATTTCGGACTCTCTTTTACTAGGTTTCTTGTCAAAATGACTACGGACATGAAAGATTTGTGTAGATTATGTGCTAAGAAAGATGGGTTTTTGAAAGACCTATTGGATAAAGATAAAAAAAATATTCTGAAAATATTGCAAGATTTCATTCAAATTGTTGTATGTATGAATTCTAGTGTATTTTTAATTAATAAAAAACCATTTAGAAGCTCTCCTGGTTTACGCAAAGTATCGTACACTATAATACTAATTTTGCACTTACTGCAAACATCTTCGATTAAATTATTTACATGAGAAATTTGTTTGTTTTGGTTTTAGATAAATTAAAGATTACAGAAGTTCCAAAGATAAATTAAAGATTTACGTAGATAATTGGCAAAATCCTAATAAAATTTTTTCGTTCTGTTTGGTCTATTTGTACCGACTTGTTCACTGTATTTTAAACCTTGTGGTCTATAAATTTATAAATTTTTAGGTATATGAAAATGATGTTTTACCAACAAAAATATGTATGAATTGTGAAGTCAAAATGCAGTCCATTGAATTGTTTATTTTGGAATGTTTCAAAGCCCAGGAAACATTAAAAAAGATGCACGAAGAAGTTGTGGATCAAATCAAACGTGAATGTCCACAGGCCCCTATGGACTTTAACGTCCAAATAAAATCTGAGGTAATGTAAACACTACATTCATCCACATGAACCGGCAGGCATCCATATTACCTAATCCATATTATATGAGCTGGTACAATGTATATTTTATCATCTATACTTAATATTATAAAGAGGTAAAATTTGTAAGTATAGTATCTTTGGAACCGCTGGCTGGATTGCCAAAATTCTTTCACTGCTAGATAGCTACAATGTTCCTGAGTGCTATAGGCTATAAAACATCACACTAAGATTAAATGTAGCCAAGCAGCAGGCGAAACATAGTGTTTCATACAGTGGCAAACATGAGTTAATCTAGGAATTTTGAATCCTTACCGACAAATACATTTGACTCAATATTAGTACTTTACTTTTGTATGCCATGTTACTTAATAAATGTTTTTGAATATCTGCCAGGATAATTCCTGGCTGAGGTGACTTAAACTATGGTATATGATCTTTGAACATAGCTAAGATACATTGTATTTTCTAAGGTGTCTCACATAGTGACAGATGACAAAATGAAAATACCTACAAATGATCTAATTTAAATAACGAATCTATATGTATAAGATGCAATGCTAATAACTAATACTGCTGCTGCTAATACTAAAATTAGATAAAGGTTTGGATAAATCTAGTATTAATTAAATACTGCTGTAAAGTAATTATTGTTAATGCCAATAATTAATTATGTTCTACATTGCAGGTCAAAGATGAAGTTTCTGCTGAAGATATTGTATGTAAGTATCACACTTCCATCATCGGCTATTTATTACATAGGTATATCAAAGCAGCATTATTTTCAATATTTAATACTATGGTAAACAAATATTTTTGATTATTAATGAAATACAAATACATATTTTGTTCTAAATTTAATTACATTTATAGGTGCATTGAACAATGACACATCACTATCCATGATTGACGTCTTCCCAGACGGACAAAGTGTTGATGATGAAGTAGACATGCATAATGATGATGATGATTATCTTGATGATATTGCTATAGCATCATTGAAACCAGTTAAACGTCACCGGGAAAAAAGAAAAGAAATGACAGAAAAAGAAACAGAAGAGTTCAATAATATTCTTAAAAAGCCTTGTCTAAAAGTGAAAGATTTTGTTAAGTAAGTATTAAAAGTTTACATGCTCTATTCACTTCATAAATTCATTCATACCGTTTTATTACCAGATTAAAATAAATTCTTGATGGATTTGAATTTTATGTGTAATATAATAATTTACTCCTAATTAATATTAATTAAAGATTGCAGTGTGACTTATGTGGAGAAAAAATAAAGACATGGAGCGGACTAAGAGTACATTTTTTAAACGAGCATAACCATGAGCCATATGTTTACTGCCTGTGTGGCTTTGCAGTAAAATCTAAGAGTGTGCTTTACAAACATGTATCAGATCACAAAATAGAGAGTAGGAAAGTAAGAAAGAATTCAGAAGAAACTGATGATGAGGAAGGAAAAAAGAATTTAAAATATGATAACTTAAATGTGAAAGATTTTATAAGGTACCATTTGATTTTACTTACTCTAATTATAATTTTTTGAATACAAATTTTTGGAATTACAAATAACCATATTGTTTTCAGATTTATATGTTCTCATTGTGAACAGGAGTTTGCGAGTTGGTACAGACTGAAAGAGCACTCCGAAAAAAAACATAAAGTGTCACCTATAGTGACTTGTATCTGTGGCATTACATTAAAATCTAAGTCTGTTATGTACAAGCATGTACAAGACCACAGAAATCCCAATTTACTCTCGTAAGTAACTTCTAACCAATATCACACACATAAATGAATGAACTAAGAACAAAACACTATTAATGATATTATTTTTCTTTTTATACAGCTGTGATAAGTGCCCTCGTGTAACGAAGACATTAGCTGCCTTAAATAAACATAAGATGCGACACATACCTAAGTCAGAGAGGAGGTTCTGTTGTGCATCATGTGAAAAAATATTCTACACAAAAGAAGGATTGAAATCTCACGAAAGATCCCACATACCAATAGAGGAGCGTAAAATATATCGGTGTGATATATGTAACATGAAGTAAGTTCTGTAGCATTATACATAAAAATTATAAATTAAATCTAAACAGGTGTAAAATTTTAAACGTGTTCATTTTTTTTTGCTTAGGTTTACGACTCGTTCATCGGCAGCGTCTCACAAGCGTGTGGTGCACGACAAGATCAAAGGCTACGTGTGCGACCTGTGCGGGTATGCGTGCGGTACTAATGGCGAGCTGCGCCAGCACCGCGCTATACACAGCGATGACAAGCCGTTCGTCTGCAGGAAATGCTCTAAATCGTTAGTTTTTTTTCATTTTATTGTTAAATTTAGTCAAGCAAAATTAAAGTTTATCAAATAATAATTTCTACTTGCAATTTGTGCCTAATGGTGTGCATTTTAACCGCAGTTTTAAGACTTATTCAAACCTGAAGACGCATTTGGACACTCATGAAGACACGTCGTATGAATGCTACATCTGTAGGCGAGTGCTGAACAGTAGGCGTACTCTGCGCAAACATTTGTTAGTACATGAAGACAAGTGTAGGCATGTTTGTTCCTACTGCAACAAAGCGTTCAAGAGGAGACAGACTTTAAAGGTAATATTTGCAATCGGAAGATGAGTAGGGATTCGTTTTTGTTTTATTAGTAAAATTTTAAGTAAGATCGTTTCTGTGTGTTTGTAATGTGTATGCTCTATTATCTTCAGGTCCACATGTACACACACACGGGTGACAAGCCACTTTCATGCAAATGGTGCGACGAACGGTTCTCATACGCATCAACGTTGCGCTCACACCGCTTGCGTTGTCACCCGGATAAGATGGCCCCGTTACCTGCGCACGAAACTTATCCTACCTATGGTCAAATTAGTATGCAAGAGGTGAGTCTTAAAAATAATATTTTTTTATTATCAATTTATTACATCTTTTGCACTCCCGTGAGTCTCGCGAGCGCTACTGCTGAGAGGTTCGGATTACACTCTATTTTAGTGCTACCCGTCTTTAAAAAAATAAATATTTGAAGGGTACCTAATAGTAAGAAGGCTTGGTTTAGACCTGTTATATGGGGTTAGGCTTTTTGAGAATTAGATTTTTTCACACTTTAATTTTTATGTAAAGCTTCATAATTAGGCTTTTTATATGATATCCTAATTAATCAATTCTAAAGTCCTTAACTTGTTTATGTTTATTTGTTTACAGAACTATATCAAAGATGTGCCACCTGTAAATGTACCGGTGCCGAAGAATGAAGTGGAGGCTATGTAGTAAAACATTAAATAATAATCTAAAGAGGACTGTTTGCAAATTAAACTTTTGTAGAAAATATAGGTTTAATACTGTGTAGTTATTATTAGGGTTAGTGGAATAAATATTTGTATTGCATACAACAATCAGGTTTTTGTTGGATTAAAATAATATTTTATAGTTGGCAAATTATTTATAGTTGTTTCAACTAGCAATTTGAAATGTAATATTTCTTATTTTATACTTCTAGCGTTGTTAACCCAAGTTAGGTATTTATAGACTTTACTGATTTCAAAGCAATTTTAATACTTCTCTAAGTAGGTACTTCTTTATGCATATTTAGCCTATAATTAAACTTCGTTAGACATTTGTAGTTTATGAAGTACTTACTTATGATAACTTTTGTGCATTGAGAACATTTTGTTATCTATAGAGAGCCGTGAAAAAGATATAAATAAATAATTACAAATAATGTTGTATTGTTTATCGAGTTTTTTAAGCGAATAAATTGGAAATATTGATTTGAAGTATGTATGTTTAAGTGCAGCTAATAAATGGGTAAATGACCATATTTTGTTTAACTGTACCAAATCGAAACATATTTAAGAAAGGTCTTTGATATATCGATCGGGACTGTCAGTGCTTCCCCATGCTTTTCGGTGGCCTCACCCCAAATGTAGGTATGTGGCGTACGCAAGAAAGTATCAGTGTCGAGTATCTAAACGTTGAGTGTTAGCGTCAACAAGACTACCAACAGTCTTTAGAAAAAACCGCTGGAAAAGAGCCGAGTCCACTGGTTTTGTTTACGTCCAAATCGTATCCCTCTGTCGGATGCGAATTTCTAACATTGGCATATGTCACATTCGGAGAGAAGACGGCGACACGCTACTAGTATCTCGACGCGAAGACTCTGCAGACTAAAGACTCAAACGGGTATGTTTTCGCTATCGCGATGTACGCCAGCGTCTCGCCAGGCTTCAGCGGTGGCGGAAGTGAGGGAAGAGGAGAGGGGATTTAACCACCCAAAATGCTTTAGACTGTTCATCATAAGAAGCAAGGTTGTTCTCAATTTGGCAACTGTAGTCATACCAAACTCTTTGCAAGTCTTGGCAGCCCGGTTATAGGCTCTCTTATTTTGATAATTATTGACAGACCTACTCTGGCTCCTGGCATCCTCCCAAGGCAGATATGCTGCATGCTTTGCGTCTCAGTGCTTCTGCAGTCGGCATCGAACCATGAACACCATCGAAAGATGCTGCGGCATGGAGTAGAATATTGTATTCCATGTCCTGACGGAATACCCCAGTTACAACTTCCGCCCGGGCTGACGGAGCACCAGAAGAGAAGCAAACTGGTCGATAAGGACAGGATGCTCCAAAAATCGAATATTATCACAATCTGCTGACCTGGACCAAGCGGGGAGTGTACGGCTTCATATTTTACCAGGCAGGGGTCAGAGCTATCTAGAGATGAAGTGATTGACACCGAGTATTGGTCTGGATCAGTTGTTAGCACAAGGTCCATGCAATTGGTAGTGAGTGACTCGAAACCGGGTACCCTTTTACCTTTACAGTTGGGTCAGGTTAAATGATAAGTAGCACGATTTTTAGCATCGTCCCTTCTATTATGTATGATCAGTGCACTAGTATGGACCGCAAAGATAGTGATAGGTCGAGGCCAGTCGGTTGCGGTGAATCTCCTCAATCGTTGAGCAGGAGTTAAATATATAATCTGTAGTCGGATTTTTAATGTGATTGGTCGACCAGCGGAATTACCTTATAGTAAGCAATCGGCACCGCCCATGGACACCGACAACACAAAAGGAGTTACGAGTGCGTTGCCAGCCTTTAGGGGTAAGTGTTTCGGATATTTAAGGATTGGGAAGGGTTGGGGGAGGGGGACGGATTGGGCCTCCGGTAACCTAACTCACACGGCGAAACACAACGATGTGGCTGTTTCACGCCGGTTTTTTGTGAGGCCGTGGTATCTCTCCGACCCAGGCGACCCATTCGTGCCGAAGTTTGGCTCTCTCACACTTCTCGGTTAATATCATCGATCAAATCAGGAGGCATCAAATTCATCATCAATCGTCATCATCGGTTAAGCTAATCGAGATAATCGCTGACACACATATCTAAGAACCTACAACTAAGTCAAAATGACAAATAAAAAAATTGGATTGCATTAAGTACATACTTTATTGCGCTTGCATCCGCAATCCTGGCTGACAAGTCTTATTTCTAAGTAGATAATATACATAGGGGAGAGTCGGGTAGCCACGGACACATAAACAAAACTCAAATTATTTTTTAAATGAACATTATTAGACATTTATTGAGAATCAAACCATTAAATAAAATATATAAAAAGTATTTTAGTACAAGTAACGATCAGATAATTCCTTAATCTTAACTGTTATCAAGTCTAATAAACAGTAATGAATTTTTAACAATATTTTTTTTGGCGGGTAGCGTGGTAGCCCCGGACGTCATTTATTGGTGATGATCAAGTTGCTTTACGGCTTTTTCTTACTTTACCTGTGAAGGATCAATATCTACGCATGCTTCATGCTCCCAGTCTTTGCATTTATGACATTGTATCCAATCTACTTTAAATGTTTCTCCACAAATAATGCACTCGGTATCTTGGTCTCTTGTCAGTCCTTGGATGTTCCGTTTGGTTTTCATTAAATATTTCCCTTTCCCCTTGCCCTCTTTATAGTCTCTGCCGTTTCAGATTCGTTACCTAATATTGTGTGTTTCTTTAATAAAGATTATTTAAATGGAGAAGATGACAGAATTTCGCTCTTTTGAGTTTTTCGAGAACGCGTCTTCGAATCTTCCTAGTTTTGGAACTAAGTTAGCCTCTTGTCGAATATTAAGTGCTTTTATTCGATTCCGAAGAGTACTCGGCACCAGAACCAGACTCCTGCCATCTGCTTCTCCCAAAGAATAGTTTCTTTAACACTTATACATCCTGTTTCATTTTATCTGCATCCCAATTCCTTCGTTTAGTGACTCTTTCCTCAAATTTTGGCATTTTTCAGAGCTTCTGCATAAAATAAATAGCCTACTTATATCTACTCTTTCTATCATAAAAACATCTGTAATGTCAAAAAACGATAAAAACATTTAAGTACAGATTTTACTTAAGTTCAAAAAATGTCCGTGGATACCCGACAAAATTGTGTCCGGTTTTACCCGACAGTCTCGATATAATATTCTATTTATTTTTATAAATACTATAAATCCCATCGACATAGAAAAACATATCCTTTTAACTGTGACGATTACTACATAGAAAAAATTATAAATCACACTTATGTACCTACTTATATTCAATATCTAGAAACTGTATTTAAAAAGTAAACGGCGTAAGAAAAAATGTTCGGTGATGAAAACAATCAGCTGTCATTTATTGTCTGCTCGACGAAGGTGGCACTACTGCGGCGAATATTCAACTAAGCGACGCTTTGAATGTTTTGATGTTTACACTTTTTGTCTATGTATGCCTGCTTGCCTAGGATAGTCAGTGGCCGGGGCTACCCACCGGCCGGGGCTACCCGACTCTCCCCTACCTATAAAAGTTTCTTTTTTTTATGTAATAGATCGCCAAACTAGCAGACGGATTACCTGATTGTAAGTAATCACCGCCGCCAATGGACACCCACAACGGAGGAGTAACGAGTGCGTTGCCGACCTTTTAGGGATTAGGGATTGAGGAGGGGTTGGGGTGGGGAAGGATTGGGCCTCCGGTCACCTCACTCACACGGCGAAACAACGCTGTGGTTGTTTCACGCCAGTTTTCTGTGAGGCCGTGGTATCACTTCGGTGGAGCCGACCCATTCGTGCCGAAGCATGGATCTCCCACACTTCTGTACCTACCTACCTGTAATTAATTAAGTCCTAACCAGTGTCAGCTTAATTACGTCGCTTCGCTTCTGATCTGACTTGATAGATGTACTTCAGCTGTGTCATTTCTTACTTTCAAAACAATTTTTTTTAACAAAAAACGTGTTCCTCCCTTGTATATGTATTATCCTGTGCCGTGGGTGCGTTTACAAACATACTATTTCACATACATAACACACCTAGACCCGAAACACCAATACATACTATACTTATTCCTCCCTAACCCAAGTTGTTACGTAGGTAATTACCTCAGTGTTAGTGTTTAAGTTGGTAAAGTACCTACTAGAAAAAGGCAAATACCTATACCTATTTAGATTCCATTAGCTAAGCAGAAATCTCCTTTTCCCTATGGGTACCTGCATGCATATTTGACGCGATCATAAGGTAGGTATGGTGGCTACTTGTAGGTAATCGATAACAGAACGAGCAGTTGTTATTGCTTACACAAATGGCCTTGCACGTTGGGAACAAGTCAATGAGTTTGTGTTCTATTTTGCCGCGAAGTGATAAAGTAGTAAGATACCTACCTACATAACATTTTCACCACACCAACTTGTGGGCCATGGGTATCGTCAGAGCCGGATAAAGAACTTTACATTTCACTGAGAACGGGTAATGCTCATTGATGCCTAAACCTAAACCGTGGTCTGCAACCCGCCAGCCAACCGTGAAGACTGTAGGAAAACCTCTTATGTGTAGATAGTCCACGTAAGTACTTAGTGCAGGAGTGGAAATGGACTATCACATGCTTGTGTGTCTTCTATTTGAAGTCGGTACCTATCTATTAATATTAGGTAAGTACTTATAGGTAGGTAAATGTATTACTCGCTTACACTTTATCACTCACACATTTGAAATAATATATTTATATTTCCGCGCACTTACAGATTACAGAACCGTGTAACACAGCTGTATTATTTAACAACAGGCGTAGATGCAGGAGTTGTATCGTTACTTTTAACAGTTAATGAGAGCGAGCTACAACATACAGCATGCAATATTATCTACCTACAAACTATCTACCAATAATGCCCAGTAGGACTTCACCAATACTAGTAGACAATTCAGTCTTAATCAGAAGGGTGGGCAAATGGCAAAATTTTGGAAAATAAATGTTAATAGATCAGATTTGTATTTAATTGACAAAAAATAAGCGTAGGTCTAATAGTGATAAAAATCGAAATAAAAATATACCTACTTATGTAGATTCTGTAGGCAATACTTTTATAGAAATAACAGGCTTAATAATATTTGAGGTTCAATTAGAAACACAAAGATATCAAATATCTGTAGCTAGACTAACACTAAGTAGATATTGGTAAAAACATTTAGCATTTTGTGTCTCTCAATCTGTACAGTGACCCCGATTTCGTTGGACATGTAGGACGCGTCTCACGCACACAGATACATCGTAGGTGCTATGATGTTCACCGGTCATCGTGATGACCCTTTTCTATTGAAGAACATTAGTCAGCTGTAATGTGGGGATTACAAGTCGCTTGGCGTGATATGTGTTTAAATTCCTTAATGGTAACAGACAGACTTACCTACCTAAAGGCTATGCTATTATGTTTGACAGTGCATTAGTGTCGCAAAGCTTTCACTGTTTTTTATAACTATGACAGACTTATTACAGAAAGTATAAAGTTAATTACGACGCGTAGACCGATTTCTTTAAATATAAGTAAAGTACCTACATACATATCCTCCCTTTCTAATTTATATGGACATGAAGGGTTAAAGTTGTATTTTTGAGCAAGAAGATTAATGTGCTTTTGTAATTTCAGCTGTAAATTCCTTTTAGGTCGCTTACTAGACATGGATTCTATCCCGCTTTGCAAGCTCGTTCCAGATTTTATTTCATGTGATTTTGAGTAGGTTTGTGGGTTTGTAAGATTTATGTTTCAATAATCTTTTTAGACGTCTATACCCATACCTATATACATATAGACAATCAACCCAAAAACCTATATTTGTGACGTGATGAGTCAGATATCTACTCACCTTATTATATCCTAAAGATATATGCATATAGATTAGAAACAGAAAAAATATTTTTATGAATTAGTCAAGGTCACGGAAAACCGAACCATATCCTGCCTTTTTATTCATTTATAGGTACCTACAACTTACGTTTTAAGTAGAAAGTAATGAAACCTAAAATTAGGCGTAGAAATTATTAGGTATTTTTTAATTTATTATCTATTCATAGATGCCATAATTTTACCAATCACTTATCACAGGCCGTGATTAATATCTAACAGTTGTATTAATGGATGAGGGCTCCGGTAAATCTCTTCACGTTTCGCATCGCCCACTGAAAGTGAAGCGAACCATGTCGGAGGTGGATCCGATTGAAGATAAGGGTAGTCAGTCACACACGTCAGAGCGTTGGCGCGTCGCCAGCCGCCCCGAGGCCGCCGCGCCACGGATGGGCCCAGCCCCAGTGCTCTCGGTTCTCTACTTCTTACGTAACTCTGCAAAAACTATACACTAAAAGCTTACGCCTCGGTCTCATTAATTTTAGAGACAGACATTAATAACAGCGCTTAGTTGCCTAATGAAAATTAATTCATTACTGTACTTTCATGTAACTACATAAGACTACAAATTTCAAATACCTAAAGGGACGAAGACGATCGTCGTTATGTCATTATCATGAAACGAGCATAATTTTAATTCCGGAAAATTGTAAAGGTGAAAATTTCCTCAGAGGAAAATCCAATGACGCAATGTTTCCGCCCCGGACTTCGGCGATAGAGCGGGTTAAAGGAGAAAAATGAAGTCGTACAAACCATCGTCTCGCGAAAATCGACCGACTAACATTAAATTCTATCTAGCTTTTATGTTTTTGGCTTCGGCTATTATAAAGTTTAAATAGAAATAATAAAGATTATTGCCATGATCGTTACGACTTTGTTACTTTGTACCCTAATTTCATCTTTCTAAGTACCTACTAATTTACTTTTATCGACTAACAAATCTATAATCATCAAGCGAGGCAGACTTAAAAATTGTTTCTTCGCTTTTCACAAGTAACCATTACTCAAATTGGTGGTCATTTATTTATCGTCAAATTATGGAAATGGGTATATCGTTTAGTTTACGAAAGAGAGAGACTCTCGCCTCTATTGAAGCTGTGATCATTGAATTAACTCTATAAATTTATTTGTTTAATTTAGCAATTAGTATAATCACTTTGTTTTAAATAACCCCCACAATTTTCTCTTACATCTAATTGTGTTCCAGTTAACTCGTGCAGAATGATAAGCTACCTATAGCGCTGTAGCTGGCTGGTATAGTGAGCCAGCTCTGTTAATTACCCTTCAATATCAGGCCAGCGAGAATAGATTTAGATGCCATGACTTTAGTTATAAATTGTCTATTGGCGCTAGCGTTTCCATTAAATTATTTATTATAAACTCAACGATCACATTTAAAAGTATAATGTAAGATAAGTATATAGGTAAGTCATATATAAAAACGTTCCATATTGTAATTTATGCGTATAGCTATTTATAATTCTTTCAGGAATACCGTTATTAGATTAAGTAATACCACGTTTTATAATAAATAACAGTTTGCGTACAAATTCACCAACTTATTTCATAAGCGGTGGAAAATTCGAACGCTTTTTATTTCAGAGCCAACGATTTTTCCCATTAAAAATAACTTCGTTCAGCAAATTTCGGTTACAGACATAAATTTGGTAAGATTTTCCTTTTTGGAGCAGGTAAATAATAAATTGTGCGATTTTCCAGTTGACAGTTAATTAGCGTCCGGATTTATACCAGATTTGGGCAAAGGATATGTGTAATACGTTACCTCACGCCTAATTACCCACGCGTTACATGAATACGCACTGGTTGGTACCGAAAGAAACCATTCCACTTGAACCTAATGATATTCCAAAGAGATTTGAGACTTATAGCTTAGCCTAAGTTTGTAATTTGCATGAAATCTAGTAATACTTTAACGACTAATAAGGTATATTTAACCTTAAATACTTACAAAATTGAATAAATTATAATATTGAAATACTTAATGTTATCAATGTTTTATTAGGATTATATAAATATCTATGTTTGCTGTTTGCAGTTGGATGATTAACTACGCACCTAACATTAGAACATGATTACATCATCGTCAGCAAATTACTAGTGGTATAAATGATGTCTACAATTAAATATGCATGAATGACTAATTATTATATTACCTGAGCACGGTTTATATGCGTGGAGATAAAATACTACTTGAACTTTAATCTTTAATTTAATCCATTACGCTCGAAGAGTTGTATTTGAAGGTTCGTAGATGTTATTAGAGCAGGCGCTACAGTTCGCTTCATTAAACAGCGCCGGATATCAGAAATGGACGCAATTTCCTGTTTTGATTAACATACCAATCCATTTAATGACTAATTAACTTCTATGACACGATCTGACTCTAGAATACAGACATTTGCATTACTAAAACGCAATCCCTCCGCATCGTTATGATAAGCAAACATAATTAGATTGATGCATTAACTAAGCGAGTTCTACGGGTGGCGTTGTGGAAAAAATGTATTTGTGATCCTTGGATTTTACAACCTTTTTTTTCTTTTAAATGTACTGACCATTAAATCATCGTGGCAGTTTTATGAGTTCTTTTTCATCGTATCCTTTTTCGTGTTCCTTGTGAAAGAAGGTAGGTGTTTTAATACATTTTTTAAATAAAACGGGGGAAAGCTTGGTACAAGCTTTACACCTCCACTCATTGTAACGAAATTGGTCGAAGAAAAAATATTTTCGTTTGCCCTATGATATTGGGTCACGATATTGGGATGTTCCAATGAAATATAAACGCAATAAATATGGAGAGCAGGTAGCAAGGGAGCGTAGGAGGCTTCGACTGTGTAGAACGAGACTGGTGCTATGCTGTCTGTGTACTACTTATCGCTATCACTTCATCAGTCGCACTATGACGAGACGTCGCCGGCGCCGTACCTTTGTTAAGATACTTACCTAAAACTTGTAACAAAGGCAATGGCTTTAAAACAAGGATTATTTTAAGCAATTTTCACAAACAGACATGTTTACTGCTAAATTACATATAAAAATGCTGAACCGGGGAAACTCGAAAGACTCACGCTTCGAGTTTTCTAACGCTAAGGAAATCGTTGAAAATACAGGCGTGGAGTAAAATGAAGTAAAGATACAGGCGTGCGAGGGTGCGCGAGAGGGGTGCAAGGGTGCGGGCGGCGGGGTGGTGGGGCGCCTTGGCCGCCCTCAGTGTCGCGGAGGCTGCGGCCGGTTGCGTCGCCCGCCCTGTGCTACGCTGCCGCCCTGCCAAAACATTGTTTCATTCCACACATAAATTAGTCAGAACTTGATTTGTTTTGATATTTGCTCAACTTAATGTATGCGAATTTATTAAGTTTTGGTTTCGTTGCGAGGAAAGATTTATTTACTGAATAAACCGGGACGTTGGTCGAAATTATTATATTTAAATGCTGTGGCAATGTAATATAAGATTACACTGTTTATTTTTCTCGTGATTTTATTGTGAAATCTCATGTTTTCACCTCAAATATTAAATCTAAAATAATTCTGCGTTCTTACGTAAGTATAAATTGTTTTTGAAGGTTATTTCAGAATAGTGTTATTTATCATTCAGCATATTTTGTTCTCACTATAGAGGTTAAGTTTAGATTACTTAACTTAATTATTGTCGGAATATTTGCTTAAGTTTCATAAGTTATGGTAGATTTAAATGAAATTCAAGTGAAAACTTAATTAATAAAGCTCAACGTACAGTTCAATGATCGTTTCACTGAGTCATAAAGAATTGTATCGGTAGTTAAATATAGCACCCTTTGTAATTCTAAATGAGCTATCTTATGTTCATCTAAGGGCTGCACTCGTTTTTGAAGAGGGTCGCCACTCAGCGTAAGGGCTTTAAAGCTTGTCCAATTATAGATGTTTCCATCAAGAGGTATCTCACAATAAGACGTTCAGGTTTATTTTTAAAACATAGACAATGGGAAGGCTCTTAACATTGTTATTTTGTGCGGCTAAAAATAATTTTAAAGGAACATCTTCTCTTTGATGCTTAGTGAGTATATCGCACATTATATTTAGGTGGAATAAAGATTAAAAATCGTTGATTATGAATTTTCCTGTTTAATGCCCTTGGGCCTTTTACATAAAGTGTATGTATAATGTTTATAACTTGTTAGATGAACTGTTTAATTAAGACTTAAAAATGCTTTTTTAATTGTTTTGATTATTATTTATACAATTTAGGTATATAAAAACATTACTATATTCTGCTCTCGTTCCACCAGGTCCGCCGACTTTTCACGAGCTACAGATACAGTGGTTGTGCCAAATATATTTAGAATATAAATTAAGTTTCATTTAAAAACTATAAACATCAGAATCAAACATGAAACAGACAGCCATGGCCAGCTACAGAACGACATTACACTCTTTGTTAATGGCTTGCGCGCTAATCTTGGCATTAGCCGGCGCCTGTTACTGTGACCACACTTTGTCTTCTCAAGACGAGATTAAAACAATATCCACTTCTCAAGCCCCACTGACTTTACCGCTTAAAAAGGTTTACACGAAACCATTAGTGACAACAGTGGCCGCGACTGCAGCATCTTCAACTACAAAGAATAGCTTAAAAACAACAAAAGCGGTCGTGGCGACAGAGAGCCCGGCTACCTCGCGCCATTCAACTACTAAAGTGTACACAACTACAAAGGCGCTAGTGAAAAGTGCAAGAAGGCAAAAGTTAAACACTAGTTCTAGTGCACTTGGCGCGGCGCATTCACCAGCGCGCCTACAAGAGCGGCTGGGGGCGATAGATTGCGATCTGCCCGTGCTGCCGCGGGAGTCACGCCTCTGGCGCGGCAACGAGACACATGAACTCAATCTGCCGGTCACTGTAAGTATGTAGCCGTTAACACGACCCCTCATATATCACAACATTGTGTCAAATATTATAGTAATAAACCAAGTTCGTCCAATGTTGAACATACCTACAATATTATGATTAAATGTTTTACCTAAATGAACCAGAAACATTATACCGTAGTTCATTATCTAGTTTCACAACGACGACAATCCCTTTGTCACTCAGTTTTGTAGACAGCAGCCCCTTTGGATATTGTAGTCTATATTCGTTAGTATTTATTAACTAGCGGTTGTCAGACGGTGTTCATTTTCTTGTTATGATACTCTGGAGAGCTGACCTCTTTGTGTATTCGTATCACTATCAGGCTGAGACGATCACTGTTGTATGAGCGTCCCTGTAGATTGGCACTGCGCCTGCTATGGAATATCATTCTGTTTGCTATTTCTCAAACAGTAGATGTATTTTGATTCCATGACGAGTTTATATTTTAGACCACCTATATTATATTTATTACAAAAAACACTTATATCTACTCATATACTGGTTTATTCTAATGTTGAAGTAAACGTAAACTACGCAAAGTGTATTTATGGAAATATCGTGTCTTCTGATTGTGTCGCGAGTTAATGAATCCGTCACACGGAGTCGCGAACGACACGCACGCACGAACAACTAATTGCTATAAACACTCTGTATTTTTAATTCGTTTAAAAGTCTACAACACTGTACGAGTGTTCAGACTTTTAGCGCCTAGAAGTTAGTCGAGCCATTTTTGTTTTTGAGAACAAAGGAGTATTTTGCATTTATTATTTATAATATTTCTACGTTAATGAAACGTGAGATGTTTAAAAGTACCCTTTTAAGCACGTTGTTAAGGTAGGCGGATTTGGGAAAGGTTAATTTGACGATGAAGTGCAGAGAAAAATATTAACATGTACTTTGGAATTCCACAGGCTCATTTTTATCATTAGTACATACAAAACTCTTTTGGTACTGGTGGCTAAATTTGTGGTCGCGTAGCCAAAACTATCGGTCGTAGAAAATAGTAATTTGGCGTATAGTTCCCTTGGGAAGAGTAAGGGATCGGGATCACTAACATGGATTCCATTCAATCCCTACGGGAATGGGAAAACAAGTGATTCTTATGAGCTTACAAGTCACAGGCTAAAGTAATGAGAATAAAACTGCAGGTACACACGATCTTTGATTTTCAAACCGATGATATTAATTTCAAAAAAATGGTAGGTAAGTTCAATAATTATTATAACATATTAAATTTTAAAAAGAGAAAAGAAAAGTTAGAGGGAAATTCAGAAGAAATACAAACTGAAAAAATCGAAATCATTTAGCTGGTTCAGAGAGACCATTCAGTTACAAGCAGTTCACCTCTTCTTGGCAACTGGGTTCCTATTACCTTTCATATTAATTGAGTGTCATCCGGGCTAATCTAGCCACTTGAAATATCGGACGCGACGACCTCACTAACCTTACTTAAAGTCAAGTGCTTTCATACTTAGTGAAAATACGATGCGTACTTTTATTATACTTAGAAAATAAGCTGATTGATTGTAAGATCGATCAATAGTTTTGTGAAGCAACTTTTGATACGCTTTTTTATCGCTATCGGAGATTATATTATTTGATATAAAAATGTCTCGTTAATTGCCATGCGGGACCAAGTATTGTTTTTTAGACTTGTTTATGTTCATTTTTAGGATATAAGAAATTGCTAATCTAGTGTATTATCATGCTAATGAATAATTTAAATAACGTTCCAATTTGTAGGGAGATTGAACATTCAGTCGTTTGGAAAATGGCGATACAAAAGTAACACGAGTAGGCTAGCTACCTGCGGGTAGCAGGAAACTGACTAATCGTTACCCATCCATAACTATCCGTTTAGAGTTACTTTACAAGGTGTTTCCTCAACTATTCGACTAAATTGAAGCAGTTAGTTGGTTAAATTAATTATCTTTATTTTCCAATTTTAGTAGATTAACTGCAGAACGAGAAGTTTGTTTATTATAAACATTCCTTAGTAACGATATTGTTCCGAATACAGTTGTATATTGCTAAAGGCTGTGTCAAGTAGCCATTAAATAACTTTGGGTACGATGGTATGAAGAGATCGTATTGTCGGTGTAACTATAGATAGCGCAAAGCATTCATCGGTTTTAAATATATAGTCCGAAGGAGCATGAGAGTATCTGAATGCTGGGGCTTCTTTTAAAACAATACTTATATAGTCTCATCTCTGTGTAATACGCTTCGGTTACGCAAAAGCGGTGTGTGAATAAGGTGTAAATAAGGCTTAAAAATAGTGCATACAGTATTTTTCTAGTCTGGATAACTTTCGGTGATGAACTTGGGGAACTTTACATTGTCTAAATTTTACCCGTTTTAGTGCATAGCCTGGTCATGATCATAAAACAAAAAGGTACAAAGGTGATGATGTAGCAGGCTGTGGAATTCATATCGACGTAGCACTTACATTTCGCGCTACACTTTCAAGCGAAAGACTTATTCACAATCTCTCGGAATTCATACATAGTAAGTAGGCCTTACATTTTTTACTGTTGCCATGATCCCTTGAGCCTAGAAGTGTATTATCTCAATGAGAAACATTGCTCTAGAATTCCCGTAGGGTTGCCTGTTACGAACTTTTGTTCAAATCTGTCATTTTGATATAATTAAGTGGTTATCAGAAATTCCAAGCCGACCTGCAGATGTTACATAACTTTTAAACATGTATGGATATGTACAGCTTTCAAGACGTAATACAATACTTGCGGAACTCCACAATAAATTATTGACTGCTCTTGTCTTAAGTGGGCTTAAGTTTCTGTACACATAAGTTACTGTTTCGAAGTAATAAAATCATTACATATATAAGAAATACAAGTGTATCGAGGACACGTAGTTCAGAACACTCTATGTTATTATGTCGCCATCGCAAGTTTATTGAAAGACACACTATGCACACATAATGGTGCTATGAAGTTTGAAACAGTATCAGCTATAAATAAGTCGCGAGTCATGAATGTGCTAAACTTAATCTTTATTGGCAATTTATACAATGTCTTTTCTTCCGCTCGCTCCCTTATTTCAGAGTATAATATTCTTGTTCGCACAACTTTGATCGTGACAGCGAGCATGCCGAGGTCAAATACATAAACCATAAATCGTCTTACTGAAGGAGAAATAAGGAAAAAAGCTTTTTTGCTCCAGTGGTTGAACTCTATTCATTACTTCTGTTAAGGAAAACGACTAATCCATTATTTATGTACGATTGGATTGTTGTGTCTCCGTGACGATGAAACAAGACTCCTAACTATAATGGAATAGTCTTTGTTCCTGTTTAAATAAGGCTTCAATATTTTATTCGTTCAATAGAATAAATCATGCAAAAACGTTCGGAGAGTGTGTAGATGATACATTAAAATTTTCCCGCTGTCTTTGCACATAGTTTCTCGTTATAGCCTGACAGTGTCAACATTACTGACCTCGGGCTCTAACGAATAATGAACTGTAGATATATTTACTAGCAGCACATGTGGCTGCTCACCTTGCAAAGTTCTCATTTCACACATCAATATGAGGCATAGTTGAAATGTGCAGCTACACACTAATGAATAACAATATTAAATGTTACACTAAATAATATAACACACTGTTTGAATTAGTATTCACTGAGGTTGACTTGATAATTAATTAATGTGTGTGTGACTTTGTGGTGCGGATGGCGGAGGAGTGCGCAGGGAGCGGCGGCGGGGGAGCCGCGCCGGGTGCGCCCGAAGAGGAGTGCCCCCCGGTCATCGTGTCGTGGGAGGGCTCTGCTGACATACAGAGCGGAGACATCCTCATCGTCCGCATCGCGGACTCCTTACTACTCGACACCTTTGGTCAAGTCGATGCCAAGAACGGCACTTCTGATACAAATGTTTCTCATGGTGATGGGGAAAGGTCAGTTATTTTTACAAAACTGTAAATCTGTATGACCTATATCGTCGCTGGCAGAGTTAAGCGGTGACCCGTACCAGTTTATTGTATCGTAACAGCGATTGATTTTTCAGGGTACATCGCACGCTGCTGCAGCCAGCCGTGTACCAAGTGACACGCCAGGGACATGAGCATTGTGATGTCTCCGATGGAATGTTGCTGGACATCACTCCACTAGACGAGGGCGGAGCGAAACTCTTCACGCTATACGACAAGGATCTAACAGAAGGCGTCAATTTACTCATAGGTATAATCTCGATCAATAACTTCATTTTTCCATTGATATTTAAAAAAATAGTTCGACTTACTTCTACATATATATTCCATTTAAAAATTGCGTGAGAAGTAAGTGCTTTGTAAACGTATAGTGATGAAATGGTTAAAATATGTATATTATAGACCGGAAGGTGGAAGGAAGTGCGAGGGAAAAAACGTAAACGACGATGGTTTTATTCTACGATCGCACAATAGATATGTGCGGAATTCCCGGCGTATAATGTATTGCGTGCCGAAGTTAGTGGTGTGAAAACTCATTGACGCGTGCTATTTGATATCATTTCGTGTTTATTGCTAGACAATGAATTTGTAACTAAAAACTGATTGTTTTAGTGGTTTCTGAAAATTGGAAGTCACAATGTGTGCGACTAAAAGTAACCGTAAAATCGGACAACTGCGGTGAGTCTGAAGACTGCTCGGGCAAGGGTGTGTGTTACACTAACGTTTCAATGGTATGTAATATATAAAAGTAGTCGTGATAAGGGTTGAGTGGGGCCTGAGTAATCGAAGTCATGTATTTGTAGGAAGGGTACGAGTGTCAGTGCTGCCCAGGGTACGTGGGTCCACACTGCGAGGAGCGAGACGCGTGCAATCCGTCACCATGTCTCAATAACGGCATCTGCGTCGACCTCACGCAACCTCTCAATGGCGCCAACTACCGGTGCCTTTGTCCTTATGGTACATACAAACTGCTTATTGTTTCTATTTGTCACGCTAGATAATTTCTTTTAGAGTTTTTTTATTATTATATTTCAGGCGTATAGAGAACAGTACCAGCAAATAACTTAATATTATATTGCTTAATATAACCTAGCTCGAAATGTATTGATTTGTTGTGATTGAGATTATAAAAGATAAATCTTTTCAATAACGTATTTCCTTGGCCAACAATAGTAAGCTCTTTTCTCAGTCGATTACATTCATTCATTCGCGAGGATTCCATTTCGTTTCGATCATGGACTTATATAATACGAAAATCGAATGAGGAGTAACCGACTATCTAGATGACCCGTAAATAGAGTCGTCCAAAGATGGCGGTGTATAAGGAGATGTAAGAAAGTCGATGCATGTATGTGTCTCAATAGGTTTTGTGACACACGTGAGATGTTTAAATATTTGAACACTTTTATGGAATTTTATAACAAACTAAAACATTTTCAGTTTCACGAAAGGAGAGTTTAGATTAGTAGCACAGAAGGGTAAATGAGTGACATTTAGCTACCCACGCAGTAGAAGCGGATAAAAACAATTTAATAAAGGTACTGAAAATAAATTTATTTTTGGTGAATTGAGCACCGATATGACGCAATCTGGTGACCGCATGGCGCGGCGTCACGTAACTATGCGCCCAGTAATGTTCGTTCATACAAATAAATACAGATTGTAGGTCTGTCCAAATACATTTATTTTGCACATTACCCAACGTAACGTATTGTTTAACATGGGTAAAACCACAACGTGGCTCGCAAAGCTTTCCCTTCATTATTTTCATTTCAGATTTAATTTGAATAAGTTAATCAGAACCAAACTTTTTATTCTTCGTTTAACATTTTAATACAATAGCAGGGATTGCGTAACTTTTGTTAAGGCATTTGGTATTTGTATTTAGAACGAAAGAAATACTTTTTGCTTTTGTGACAGCTTTCGTCTGTGTAGCAAATATAGAGACAAGAAATAATTAGCATAATTTATGTATTTTTCTGGAATGTTCGATTTTCGTATGTGCAGGTTTTACCGGCAGAAAATGTGAACGAGACCCATGCTACTCATCACCATGTTTGAATGGTGGCTCCTGTATGAGTATGGCAATGAATGGGTCGACAACTTTCCACTGCGCGTGCGCAGACGGCTGGACTGGCGCGCACTGCGAGCTTTCTATATCCGGAGGCGCCTGCATGTCGAATCCTTGCGTGAAGGGTATCTGTATCGAACAAATTGACAGCGACGTCGAAGGACAAGATTATCGCTGTTTCTGTCAACCTGGTGAGAAACACATTCATATTTATTTCATAAGGTTGAATCTTGATTCTGGTCTTATAACGAAACATAGGTACAACGTATAGAACGAGGTGTCTACCTGCCTGATTGGAATATTATGTCCGCAAGGTAAATTAGTACGGGACAAAAGAATTTAGAGAAAGGTTAAAACTCAACTACCTTACATACCACTGAAATGAAAGACCGCGAAAAATTACACAAATTACGAAACTGCATGTCTGTGATAATGTCTGAAATGCTAAAAGAATTGATGGAATGATTTAATTTAAAAAAATCAGTAGGCACAAGACATCGCTATTACATCCGCTTTGTAACATAATTTGATATCATTATTTCGCTTCACAAGTGCGACAAATTGGCTATTAGCGTTTGTCATATTTTAAATGTCACACCGTGAGAGTACGCCGCGTGAGTACGTCCAGAACAATACGGTTCTAATGACGGACCATTTCCTCAAATTAGTTGCGTCATTTATACTTGAATCGTTATTCATACCCGCCACACCATTACTCCTAAATGGCTATGCCTGCAATTATTTTCCTTAGGCGAGGATTTATTTCACCCAATTTTATGTTCAAACAAATTAAATTTTTGAGACTGTTGACGTCATTAAACACGGGTGAGTTAATTTGTGTATCAAGTTTGCAGTTTTATTTTAGATATGAATGATCAATTGGTGACTGGACCCACTCAGTTCATAGGCCGCTTATCTTACTAACAATTGTAGCCTGCAGTATTATTGGCAATAAACACGTTGTGGATAATGTATGTATCAATCAATCTGTAGATAAACATCATGACAATCACAAAGAGCCTGTGTCGGTTAGCTTCGATAATAGAGGTAGTCAATAGCAGTTCGTATTTTATTAAATTATTGCATTATCAATTGTCCAGTTCAGTGAACTTCTATCAGATCAAATATCGATGTTTATGCTACGAGTAGCTTATTCCATTTTCAATAATATTGTCTTTACTTTGGGCGGAGTAAATCTGATAGATTATACCAGACCAGCGAACTAAACAAATAACAGCATCTGTTGTCATTCCCTCGACCTGCGTTGTCCCAATATGTAAAAATATTTTCGTTTATTTTGGGCTATGTTCATACAGCTACATATATGTTCGAAGCTACTTTATGGAGTACATTATAGAATTTCAGATGATTATATTATATCGAACAATTACTACACATTGAAAACTAAACACTACAGTAAGCTGGTTATACGATTAATCTATAAACAAAACATACATTAAAGGAATATTACAATCATTAAGTATATTTGTAACTACGTAATTTCATTATGCATGTAACGGCACGAAATGGTAATATGGTAATTTAATTCATTATATTTTTGTTTGAAGGCTAAAGCTTAGTTGGAGGACAAATGAAGCTTTAGAGCTAGGTCAGTTTAATAATGGTCGAAACTTGAATGTGGGCTCCGTACAGCAAATTTGCGCACTGATTTATTGGAGTGAAGTTGGAAGGTTGCCCACACCCGCTCTCCCTTGTGCGGTCTCATGCGGTTTCTCCGCTCATTGTTAACTCAGAAGGCTTCGTTTATAACTAGGTTTAGATAAATTTTACAATACAAAAGTAGAAACCCATTTTAACTTTATCGATCCGTAATAAAATTGAAGTTGGTTCCTGATCCAAATAAAAAAAGGTACGTACTTACGAAAGCCAAATTACCGAGAATTCAATAATATTTATACAATACAACTGTAGGTACTCCAAAAATATGTAGATGTAATGTATACACATATAAAAGAAACTTTTCGTTCATTTTGTTACTAAATATTCACTGATCATGTCTCACAGTGAATATTTAATACTGAGTAATAATTGAACATTCACCAGTTGGCACCTCGGGGCTAATAGCACATTACTGCTTTATTAATTAAATATACAGATGGGATGTTGTGTGTTGTGAATCAATTAGCATAATGATGAACATGTTTACGATAAACATTGGCTTCGATACATTACAAACATATCTAATTTCATAAATCAAAATTTAATCAACACCCAAAAAGCAGAATAATGTTTTAGATATTTGTAATTCAAATGTGTTCCGCTTGGACTATTAATTTAATGTGAAAAATATGTATTAACTTCTGGAATACACAAATAAGCTTTTTACTACGCTAAATAAATCGGAGTGAATTAATCAAGAGTATTTTTCTAGTGAAGGAACATTTCATTGAGCGCTGCAAGTAAATATCCCTCGGGACAGATTGGGCCTTGTCATAAGGAAGTTGTGAGTTTTTCTCTGCCCTACATTCTTGTATATTTTTCTTTAAAGATAAACCTTTGTTATACACTCTCCTTACGAATGAACTACGAGATTTATTTTATACAATTACGCGTCTTACGAATTCAGTTATTTTAATGAAACACTTGACTTTATAGATGAGAGTCTTGGTCTTGATAGAGATGAAAAAGAAACATTTTCTTACTTATACTGATTACAAGTACTGACGTTAAATGGGTATTATTTAAAAAATATACATAAAGCGATAATACGGCTACCTAATACTAATGTGCTTTATAAAAACTCTCACTTTAACTAACATGTTTGTGTGATATTTCTACCTTTGCCAAGTATCATTTAGGTCCATTCAATGGTTCTAACGTCAAAGGGCATCGAACATTCATCCACACTTAAAAACTTTCGCGGTTCTAGTATTAATAGGATTAAACCAAAATTGGTGCAGATATATTATTATATACATTGCAATCTCATTGATGCAGGGTACACTGGCGAACGCTGTGAATTGGAGTACAACGAATGTGAGTCGTCGCCGTGTGCCAACGGGGGCACTTGCACCGACCGCGTCGGCGGTTTCGCGTGTTCGTGTGGTCGCGGCTACACTGGCAACACGTGTCAGCTCAAGGTCAGCTTACGCTCTTTTCATACTAATACTGAATGATAATGAGGTGACATCGTTGTTTCTGACCAAATTATTAAACAATATGTTTTTCGTATTAGAATTTTTACGTTTTGTCAAACCAATTTTGAATTACCCTTGGAATACCTTGACTGTACCCTATCTTATGGCAAAAACTTTAGCTTTTAGTTGTTGAGTTCCTGGTAATGCATGTAGTCATATGTTTGAAAAATTAAATTCACATCTCCTTATCCAATAATAAGTATGCTCAGGGAAGATTATTAAGCATTTGGGATTTGTCAAAAAAAATAATTCTTAGGACCAATTGAGAATTGAAATAATTAAGTACATTTAATAAATGGAACTGCTTGGTTACAAAATTATATCTCGAAAATCCATGCCAAATTATTATTAGGACACAAAGGTTTTTTATCTACAAAAGATTAATATTCTGCTTGCAACGTTGTTATCATTGTTATTCTTAATTTCTTGTCTGTCGGTGAGTGACCTACGAACGCTGAATTCATGTTAATAAGATTACTGTGATATAATCCAAGATTAGTAGAATTGCGAAGAATAAAATCGTCGTAAATTTATTTTACGAAAAAGAAGCTTTGTTTGAAATCATTTCAGTTTTTATATTGGTTTTATGATTATAAAATTTAATCTTAAAAGCTCTAACTTCTTTGTCGATTTATTTACGTTTGTCTTTATTTTAATTTAGTAACAAAAAATATATAGTATTTCTAAAGATATCCTACGAGACAAAGTCTACATGTTCATGATTAAACATCATTTAGATCAAAAAATGTAAATGAAGCCAGAAATATTTTTGAAAATCAATGAACCGAATACAAAGCAGATTTTCTGATAACTCCGCGTGAATTTTACTTTGACATGCATGGGGCTTGACTTGGGTCCGTACCTACTTACTTATATCATTTTACTGTAGTGGAATAGTACTGGTGCAGAATTCGTTTTCATAGTACCCATACTATCAAGAATTTCGTGATTAAAGCTTTGGGGAATTGGTAATGGGAGGGAGGGGCAAGGATTGAGCTTATAGAGACCTCACTCAAACGGCAAATTGTACGTTACTTTTGTGTGGGGCCATGGTATCACATCACACTGGTCGAGCCGACACGCATTTGTGTTTTGTGATTTAGTTTTGTGTGAAATTTTATTTAGAACTAGACGTTATTAAATTGCTCTAATAATGTGTAAATCTAATAATGTACACATAGCGACAAAATTGTTTTTTTAAGCTCAATATCAAGTAGTTATTATAGATTGAAATCAGTATGGCTTTCAGTTGAATTTGTGATGAAAAAATAAATTGATTGACATCTGAATTATATTTGGCAGGTGGACCTGTGCTCCCCAAGTCCGTGTCCTTCCCATCGGATCTGTCTGGACCGTGGCAATAACTACGCTTGCGAGTGTCCCCTCGGCTTTGTCGGTGACGAGTGTCATATTCCGACCAGATCTGTAAGTATCATTTCCTAATTCGTCTAATAACATATGTATGTAATAAATTTTTATTAAAAATGAATTTAAATTAATTTAATGTTTATTAAAAATACTTTATAGATTTATACCTTATTTGTGTTTTATTTTACGTTTTTAACATTTTGGTAATGGGTAGGTAACTGTTGGATTTAGTTATAATTTTCATTATATCTCTATAATTCCAGGCATGCGACAACAACCCCTGTGCACATGGCGGAACATGTTGGAGTGGGATTGAGTCTTTCTACTGCTCTTGTCGTCCTGGCTATACGGGAAAACTCTGTGAAGGTAATAATATAAACACATATAAGTAGTAACTGTGGGAGAGCCATGCTTCGGCACGAATGGGTCGACTCGACCAGAGTGATACCACGGCCTCACAGACAACCGGCGTGATATGACCAAAGAGTTGTGTTTCGCCGTGTGAGTGAGGTTACCGGAGGCCCAATCCTTCCCCTACCCTAATCCGTTCTCCTTCCCAAAATCTCCAAATCCCTTATCCCCAAAAGGTCGACAACGCACTCCTAACTCCTCCGTCGTTGCGGGTTTCCATGGGCGATGCTGATTGCTTACCATCAGGTAATCCGTTTGCTCGTTTGCCGACCTATCACAAAAAAATATATATAATAAGAAAAATTAAAAATATTTCGTAGCGTTTTCGTAGCACTTTCGTAGGTATTTCGTTGACACGCTTTACCCGTGTTTTATAACATACATTGTACATATATACATTATTAATACATGCAAAAATTACACACTATTAAACAAATAAACTTCATCATAAAATCATGCTTGTACCAGAGTCCTGAAAATCGGGAGAACCTTCATATTGTCATACATCGAGTACTATTCAAGACTGCGCAGAAAACCAGCAGCAGAACCGCAGTCAGCAGTTGAACCGCTCCTATGATGAAGATAGGACTAACAGAAACGTGATTATTATTTAATTATGCACCGACCATATTCTCAAAGCAACAACCCAAAGGTTGGCTAGCGAGAGTGCCTGGTTGACATCAAGCACACGCATATACTATATGCATAAAGTTTAATAAATTATTAAAAAAATATGTCATGTATTGTTTCGCAGCATTTTCATACCAGTGATGTAGTCATGTCATCTCTTAAGCACCTTGTCGTTCGTTTCTCAAAATCAAAATTGTACCTTCAAAGGATATATATATATTTTCTTTTTGTTACAGAGGACTTTATTCTCGAATCAGTGGTTGGAAGCGAGGGTGGCATGGACGTAGAGCCTCGTAGGGGAAGGCTTGAGAACACCGGCGGAGGATCTGTTCGTGAAGTGCGGATGCCACTGGGACTGTACCATGATAGGCTACACAATGTATACATTGCTGCTGGAACGCTTGGAGCTGCTATTGCTATCGTTGGGGTTGTGGTAAGCATATAAAGAGAATAAAATTTACCTATTTGATTATTTTTTAACTTTTGTTAGAAAAATAGCTTATTTTGAGGCGGTACTTATGAAAAATCATACCTAATATCCGATGAATATTGAAAAGCCATGATTGAAGATGAAACAATGAGTATATTTTTGAAAATAGGCACTAAAACTACACACGTAAAATGGCACTTGTAGATGTCAAAACAAAATCTAGATGCATCTAGCATTTCCTATCGGACTTCTCTGAGAAGAAATAACAAAAATTACGTAGAAAAATAGTTATTGATTATCTTTGTGTGTGTATATATAAAAATCAGTTCCACTTTTCGGTGTAATGTTATAACTCAACAATGGCTTTACTAATTTGGCTTATTTTGGTCTTGAATTATTTGTGAAAGTCCAGGAAAGGTTTAAAACGCCAAAACAAATTGTTAATTGGAGGCGGTACGGAGTCAGGTCATCTAGTTATTTTAGTAAAAGGAACCGGCGAGGTTGTCAGCACGGCCAAAATACAATTTGTATCGCGATTGACTATCTGAAATTGATGATAAAATTCAGTTGATATCAATAAAACCATTTTTTGAGGATTTGGGCTACGAGCTACGCCTGCTACGAAATGTTTTAGCTCGTAGCATTTTGCTACAATGTGATTTAAAAAATACTTTTAACTACAAGTAGTTTCTTCGATTTTAGATGTATGTATACACATGTTATGCCATTATATGCTGTAATCATTATGCTAGAGTGCAATTACGAAATGATTGCACAGGATTACGAGTTGTTTAATGGAGCGTTACTAAGAAAAAATGCGTGTGTCCCGCAGACATTCTCTATACATTGATAAGTTTGTGTTGTGTCTCAGGTGACGGCCTGCCACTGTCGCGTGAACAAGACGTACTCCCGGCTGTTATCTCGCCTGTCTCGAGTTACGGAGCCAGGCCCACCGCACCATTGGTTGCAAGACAAGCGCGCCCCACCTGCAGCAGCACCGTTCCCTCCGCCTTCAAACACCCTGGATACCACCGATATGTATTACACCCTCGACTTCAGCGACAGTCAGAGCTCTCCTCTTATTCAATAGCAATCATTCCAGAACTGCTCCGATGGGGAACGGTTCAAAATACAAATCTAAGAAGTAGCGGAAGCCTGCGTAAACCCATCTCAGTACGCTTGGAGTGCAAGTAACAGCAACTGAAAGTTACTTCAAATATTTCAACATTAATTTGGACAACTAAGCAGAATGCATCGCATTTAATGTGCCATTATAGAAAGTAAAATATTGATTTTGTTTTGGAATGTGAAAGTGTTAGCAATTAACAAACAATTTTATTAAACAAAATTTTGCGCTAAAGTATAATAATGGCGTGGGAGATAAAATAACTATCGACAACACAGAACCATTAACTTTGTGGTTTCGTGACGCAAATAAATTATTTGTTCGTAACGAATAATTTATGATTATAGCTGTAGTAAATTTTGTAGCGTCCCGCTGCTAGTAGAAAAATACAATATTAATCCATTTTCTCGGTTTCTAGAAACATTATGTATGTTTTGTTGTTATTTACATAATTAATACATATATATTTGTATTTTATTAAAACCCATCCAGGGTTTTGATAGTTATAGTTTTTTGATAGAAGATACGGCAGTTCGTAATAAAGCTAGGCTTCGACTTGTATAGAAATACGTATTGGCTCGTAAAGCTGTACTCATTTGTAGATGTTATTTAAGTGGACGTGATTTTATTAAAAATATTATGCAATTATTGTATTAACGATCTAGACTTTTATAAAGGCTTCTGTAGAAAAAGAACCGATAGCTGGGCAAATAGGTATGTTTTTTTATTTCTGAAATACATTTTTTAATTTGGTATAGAAGCGATAAACATAGTTTGCTATTTATTAATTTATTTAGCAGTGAAATGTATTTTTAATGATAATGTTATGTTTATTTGTAACATAAGGAATATACAATGGGTTTTTCGTATTCACACTAAGTGCCTGGTGGAATGTTGGGAGACGCTTATCATTATGATTTATTTTTTTAACTTTCCTTTAAATATGGAATAGAAACAGTAAATCGAGGTGTGTCGTTTGAAGACTATAGTTCTGGTTTGATTGTAAAAGTAACAAATATTTGACTGATCTTCACATTAGAATTCCTCTAAACTTTCCTCTCGCTTGCTTTCATGTCTGTGCGTTATGTTTCATGCCTACAAGCGTTTCTTGACTTTATGCTAAAAAAAATGGAAATGTAAGTCTATTTCTCGAATATTCAAGAATACCAGCGAAGTAAATAAGGAGCTAGAAACGCTATTTTAATAATATCTATTGTTATAAATGTCTTTGTAAACATGTACTATCAGTCAAATTGTTTGGTACGCTGATAAGAACATGAAGGTTGATTCAACATACAATGGCTACTGATATTAATTCATCCTCCATTTAACTATCAGCATACTAAATATATTGGCCGATTGTACTTTACAGATAATTTATAAGAGTCGCATCTAGTCTTACTTCAAGTCTTTGTCTTGACGCTTTCGTGAACTTTGAAGCTTTTAAATGTACAGAATATTAAAACTAACAATTGTTAACGTAAAGTAATAAGATCAATTAAAAGTAACCATGATGTTGCAATGTTGTTTTATTTGTATCTGTTTGGTAAAGTTTATATTTGAAACATAAAGCATGTATAAGGGAAACATTTTAAATAGAATAAATATTAAAACCATAGTGATGTTTTCAAGAAAAACATTTTTATTTAGATTATAAACTTTGATAAAAATAATTATATTAATAATATTTTTATGTCAACTTACAAATATTCATATAAAAGAATAACGTAACATCTATTCAATTAAATCTTAAGTACAGTACAATTTAATAACGAAAATGTGCTACCACTTTCGGGTTGTGTTTTAACTAGTGTGACTAATATCTCCGCAAGCCTTGCGTCCGCGCCGGGTCGCCACCGCAGCGCCTCTCCCTACATTTATATTATATATAATTTCAATCCAATCGACGTGATCAACCACGGCTTTCATATAATTATACGACTTTAATAGTAAAACTCTGATTATACATTGCACAACCTTGCCGGCGAGGACTGCTTCGTGGCGACTCACCGCGAACGCTAACATTTTAACTACTACACTGTATTATTGCTACTGACGTTTGTGACTTATGACGAGATTCTGAATCACGAGCTAACATCATTGTAAGTAAACATTAAAGCTGCACAATTTATATTAATAAGTATATAAATAAATATAATTACTTGCATAAGTATGAGTATAACACAGTGCTGTTAGGGTCCCGCCCTCAGAGTGGCGCCGGACATTGAGCAACGGGTTTGTAACCAAAATATAACATTAAAAGAAGTTAGAATTGTGAAGATATAACAAGTGTACGAAAGCCAAAATAATGGAAGATTATAGAAACGCGAAGGCCGGAACTAGTCACAACGCAATCGCAGCTAGAGTTGAATGAAACAAAAACAACACGTTACATAATATAATATGTATAATATATGAACTATATCTTAATTAAAATTCGATGCCTACCTGCAAGTCACATGAGACACAGTAAAAAGAACTAACATTATGTTAAAGAATCTACGTCTAAGAACATTAAGTACTCTAAATTATGTCATAATATGGCAGTTATTCGAACCGTCCGCACTACTCCGCGGCTGCTGGGCGCGCGCTCCCTTTTGGCGGCGACGCGCTGCCTGCGCCCGCGCATACACTGACACAGAACCTTGTTCTCAATTTTGAATAATCGGTGGAAATAACTTAACAATAATATACGTTTTACTCTTTAAAAATGATTAATTCAGGTTATTAAGTATTTTCTGGTGTCGAATTAGTTTGATATAGGGAGGTTTAAAAACAAAAATCTTAAGTTGCTATAGAAAAATATGGTCCTTTCCGGCACGAAATCTTCATCTTATAATATAAATAAGTCTTGGACATAAAATACTTGATAAACTAAATTGTTGTCATGGCCCGATAACCTACGTATCGAAATTCGTTTATTATAACAATTGTAATATTAATAAAAAACTTAAAGTTATACACATACCACTCCCATCGATGATAATATTAATGTTGTTCGGATGGACGATTTTGTGACTATGTTTATATGACTATTATACATCCAACATAACACGGAACCTCGGCTCTGTCTCATAAAATTGTAATTTGCGCCATTGCTTCCGATTATAACTCATCACGTTGATTGAAACGTGGCAATGAACAAAATTAATGCAAATATGCGGTTGTTTTATTACTTTTTATAATTAATATGTTTTTGTATATAATCAAAATGAGCTTTGTCACTGAGCGGAAGCAACGTACGCATGCGTGGACCTAAAACTAATATCAACTTTACTAATTGTAAGAATTGAGCGAGCTTATAAAGCAAACTTAGGCTTACAAAACTTAACAAAGTGGATGGCATTTAATTTGACTTAACTCACTTACATTATTCTATTATAACATTAATTATTATGACGAAGGCACTTGATGCTTTTCTCAGTGTAGATATATTATACCTACGTATAAGTTTGTGACAAGAATTTATTACTTTATCATCATGGCAAGAATAAAAGGTACCTGTTGAAATGTTAACTACATACCTATGATAACCGAGTGAATGGCACACACGTTCATATTCAGCAACATATAATCGTCATTTACATTAAAATACATTAAATTAACGAAACATTATGTTTTCTGCTAATCAACATTAAAAATTTGTTCGCCATCACCGGGCAATCGAATCACGATGTAATGTCATAAGGCACTAAAGTAGATATTTACACAACGGTCTCGACTCGATTGCTTAGTTTACAACGATAACCAAAACATTCTTTAACATTCCGTTTCAAACAAAATAGAGAGTGAATCGCTTATGAGTAAATTTCAACCTGAGATCGACACTTTTGATACAACCTTATCCCATAAAGATTTTTCACGTAAAGAGTGTAAATCGGGAATGCTTATAGTAAAAACTGCCGTCCGTAGGGCGATGGAGGGCGGCGAGATAAAGTCCAGCGAGGTGAGGCGCGCCGCTACGGGTCGAGCGGCAGCTCCACGAACGTGATGTCGTAGAGCCGCTCGTCCTCGGCCGCTACCGCCGGCCGCACCTCCAGCAGGAACAGATCCTCGTTGCAGTAATATGCCAGCATTTCATCATCAATTTTGGCCGTAATCCTGTAATTAAATACTCATTAGTATATGCACTCGCAGTCCTCTGCACAGCGGGATTTGGGCTATTTGAAAATAAAACACGTGCAAATTAATGGGTCACTCTCAATATAGCTAAAGTAGGTATGGTATAAAAATAAATATTTAAATCAAATTATTGAGGTAGTGATGTGCTCATTAACATTAATTAGGTGCGAGTGGTTGCCAGTAAAGTAGCTCGGGCCCGGATCCAGATTAAGGTGTCATTTCGGACCAGGGGAGGCGATTACGTGACTGGCACCTATTATGAAGCTCATTAGACAGTTATAGGGGTGTTCATATTGTAAGCTTTGCGTAGTTATCAGTTAGTGGCGCGCCCTCGGGACAAGCGATGCTGCATTAACGCGAGGCGGCCGGTGCGTTTACGCTATCAGATTTGTTTAAGGCCAATGAAAACCACTTACCCTTTCTTGTTCTTTCGATAAAGATTATTAATTGCCGAACTTGAAATTTTGTACTTATTCTCAATCTGAAAATAAGCAAAAAACAAAAGAGTTACAAATGGGCCTTTCGCCATTTAGAACCGAGACGTCTCGTCTAACGGAACCGAAAGTTCAGTAACCGGTCTAGTGGTTTGTGACTGAGGACAATACGCGCGAGGACCCGCCGGAGGTCCGGTGCGGCGCGCGGCGGCCGGCCGTGCGGATGTTAATTACAACATGCGGTTATGATGATCGTGTGTTTATTAGACGGGGTTATAAAGCGTCCAATCGGTTACAGCGGCGGGCGGCGGCCCGGCCGGCAAGCGGACCGGCGCCCGCGCGCCGACGAAGCGTCTCGATTTCTTGCGTTTATTTCACATACAAGTATAAATTATCGACGAACGACGAGAAACCGAGAAAGCAACGGACACCATCTCGCTCGCTCGTGTTCTGTGGTTAGCTGACATCACCAAGGTTATTCTCGTGCAACAGCACGGATGGGCGTACACCTGGAGACGTCTCCAGTTCCCAGGTCTGGCTACGACGTATCGAGGTGTAGGCAACAATAGAGTATGAGTGTGGGGCGCGTGTACTGACCGCATGCAGCAGGCCCTGCGTGGTGGGCGGTACGACGTGCAGCGCGGTGTACACGTCCTCGGTGTCCTGGCGCACGTACAGCATGACGCGCTCGCTGAGCGGCGGGGTGCTCACGCGCGGCCTCTTGCCCAGCACGCCCTCCAGCTCCAGCGAGTCTTTGCGGTCGCTGTACGGGGACAGACCTCCAACTTCTCGGTAACTGTAACATCATAATCACCATATTTAATGCTTTGGTACTGCATAATATATTCTACCAACTTTTTAATTTGGGATTTCATTACACGAATATTTTAAATTTTGAAAGTAAACTCTTTTTTTAGATTTTTCGCTAGAAATATCGTTTCTATTATATTATAATAAAATATATAATTGTAAGTTGAGTTAACATAAACATATTAAATCATATTATTTATAATATTATGTGTACGATCTCGACTCTGGTCATAAAACAGCTAGTAACATTTATAAAACTTTTAATGAAACAATAAAAATCGATATGTTAGCAATGCAGATCATAAAATCAATTAAAAAAAATAGAAGCAAAAAAGTTATGATTTTAAAATACCGATTACATATTTAGAAGAGTTCGTAATCGTTAGACCTTTGTCATATGTAAGTTTGTATGGCATTCATTAATGTTCATCTAAATTCCTATTTACTATTCCACGACCTATTCCATCCATATATTATCATAAACGTAAATTACATATGAATAAATACGATATTATCAATAAATAGCTGTAGAATATTGTGATTTGTTCCACAACACCATCTTATGTAGCATGTAGTGACTACTTTGTGAGTCGATTTGATTTCATTGCCAAATTTTACAATTACGTTTAAATATGACATAAATTTATGTGTAAAATATTTAAATAATGGGTTACGCTTGGTATCAATATGATGCTTACCCTGGGGCATCGGGTGGAAAGTGGTTATGGAATTTGAGAGCGGGTGCCTGTGGCTTGGCGGCGTGTAGAAGAAAAGGCGAGGCACCCTTGAGGTGGGCCTCGGCCAGAGCAGAGTCATCGTGTCCGTAAAACCCTTGGATGTCCATGCCCGCCAGCTTGTCGATGTCCTCAGCTGGACTGAACAGCACTGGTGGCTTGCCCAAGTCCGCCATAGAGTAGAACTCGCTGCGCTCCGTCACTGGGTGGTAAATCTCGTCCAATTTCTTTCTATTCGTGGCTGACATTTTTCGTTTGGCCGCTCTTCTCTCCTCGTCTCTTGTTTTCCTTTCCGCACCCTTCAATTTTAAAGTAATACAATTACATTATTGTAAGCTGATTATTTCAATACTTTATAACACAGATTAAACTTGGCTTTGTATTGTTTTGCATCTTACCTTATCACAGAAAACTTTGATTTGACAGTAGCCTCTGTGATATACTTGTTGGTCTCGTGGGTCTTCAAATGTATCTATTTGTATGTGTAGTGGTAAACCCTGTAATAAAAAAATAAACACAGTAAGTTTTGATCATTCGTTTACGCACTTTCTAATACTCGTCACTAATTACAAATTTCCTTATCCGTTTTTGTGCAAATATTAGCCAAATGGGGCGAATGAAAAAAGATAGGTCTAATTGACCAATTACTCGAAGTCGCAACGTCTCTCACGCTATTTTGTATCTATATGATCTCATACATAGTCATATAAACAAATCGACTATATCTGAGTCAAGCAATTTCACGCTTGAAGTCTACACTTATCTTAGAATGATAACAAAAAAAAAACAGTTTAATAAACGTTCATAAGGGATAATTGCGATAAATTTACGAATAAGGAAAAAATATGCACGTGTCTGAATCGAATCGCGTTAAAACGTCTTAATTGCGTTCGTTCGAGGTCGGTGTTGCGGCGGCGTCACTGCGCATTGGATAGGTAATTGATAGGCTGATAGCGGACTGGTTTCGTATCAGGCGCTGGACAGGCGCGGCTCGAGACCGACGCTTAGAGCGGGCCAAGCAATGGGTGATCAGTCGCAGACGACTAATTTGTTGTGGGCAATGGCAGACAGCCGTAACCACGTTGTGAAGCAGATGCTATCATATTATTGATAATCAAAATGACTTGAATAAAGTCGCCGCGACCCGACTGTCGCTTGCGCCGGGTTGCGCCGCCCATGCCCGTGCCTCGCTTCCATGGTTATCGTGGCGTCTCCGGCGACAACGCGGTTACCGACCTCATGTCTTGACGTCCACGTATCGTAACATTCATTTACATACTTTCAATGTGGTAAGTTTAATTAACATTTACAATACAAAATAAATTAAATTACATTAATAAAATTGTAGATATTACGGCTGGCTCGTCTTCGATTTCCCACGCCCATTAAATGCCTACCTAAGGACATATTTAGCTCATACAGATAGCGAACATTCAGTGAACAAACCAATGATATAAAATTTTAAATCATTTACGATTGGCGATATAGAAGTCAATTACCGTTTTCCTCGACTCGAGACCAATATGTAAACAGCTTTATTTATTTTCATCGACGTGGCCATTTACATACATTAAAATAATCAAGCGTTGTAACAATAGTGATTTATCTATTAATTAACTCTACAGATTTATATCTTTAGAACTTCGTTTAGCGTACTTGAATGATGACTAACCTTTACTCCTTTCTGACTGCTAAAATCTGTACTGAGGCATTGTACTGCAATATTGATCTGTAAAAGAAACATTGATCATATGAGTTTCAGTTTGAAGACACACAGATGCGCTTCAGTAATGTTACAAGTCCCTAGAAAGTAGCTGACATATAAATAAAAAGCATAAAAAGATAGCTGTTTAATGAAAGTGTTGATGTAGTAGTGTGTTGCACGGCTGGCCCGCTGTACGTGTCGCGTAGGGCGTGTTTAGCTTAGCGAGTGGTGGCGGAGGGCGGGCCGCGCGCTGGACGCTACTCATTACCGCGGTCTATGCAAATGACTCTCTCGCGTTTTTACTCGCCGCCGAGACCGTCACGACGGCTCTCTATAACCATATTAACTGTCGCAAACAACTCGCATCCGCTACGGTTTACCGACTAACAATAAATAATTATGGATATTGATAACAGCCCAGTAGCCGCAGCTACATCCAAAGTCGTTTATGCCAATAATATAAATCGATGCAAAAACAACTTTAATCCAATTCGAAACGCTTTTAATTCAGCAAGGCTATTTTTTGCAGTGGTCTGCAACTTTACGGTCAAAGTATCGAAATAGTGATTCTATGTATAAGTCGTTAAACGTTAATAGCTCCCTTGACTAACATTAGCATACTGTCATAGAATTGAGGCTATTTCACGCGGACTTTTAATTGTTTGATGAATATTTAAAAGGCTATGTACATACATAACATTATCAATGAAGTATACGTTTTTGTGCCGCTAGTAGTAGATACTGTATAATTTTATGTAAGCAATTAAAAACACAGAGTGTTGTTTATTATTCAACAATATAATGAGTGTTCACAGTGGAACGCTGCAGTCCGCTGCCGTTACGCGCTCGCCGCTGCGCCGCGCGCCCCACTCGCTTTTTGTTTCATTTGGTACAACCGTTCGACCAAATACGGTTCCAGGGCTCTATTTAATTACACTATAATAAGGGCAATAAAATCATAATCTGTGTTCTAATTTTCTTTATAATGATCGCGATGCAGGGTTGCGAGAATACTATGTATTTTAAATATGCACATATTTTTGCATTACTGAGCTAAATCGTCATTTGGCGTGCAGTTTCTGTCTACCGTCACGATGACACATTAGCCCATTAGTGTTTGTATATGCGGTGCGTCAGATCCAATATAAACATGGTATGGAGGCGTGTGAGTGGTAGTGGAAGCTAGAGACGGTACCTTGGCAGCACTCTCTAGCGGGTTCCAGTAGACGGCGATGGCGTTGTGTGCCACCTCCTCGATGCAGCCCGCCAGCCCGATGCTATTTTTCGTGTCTGTAACAAAACAACAAATTGTCATTAATCTTGTCTTCGGGTAACTGCAGTAATGGCGGCGGAGATTTCGATTAAGATATCAACGCACAATACGTCATCGAGGACGGAAATTTATTTGCTGGGCGTGAATAATCACATGATAGGATCAATTTATTGACGACTGTTTCCATTTCTGCCCTTCCTAGATTGAAGTTTATGGGCAGTAATTAGCAGATTTGCATTTCGCACTAATTGCACGTGAACTAGATTAATTCCGTTCGATAATGCAGAAGAATTTTCTCTTATCTGACAATAAAAGAAAGATAAGTGTTTATTTTCAATATATTCTGAATACATAGGATACATATGGGTGTATAATCTGTGTGCATTATGGTGTCTGGCAATATTGGGATCAGAATGGTTTGTTTGGCCGGGAGTTGGTTGGGCTGGCGCACGTGAGGCTGGCTGGGTGCGCGTGGGCTGGGGCTATCAGTCGGGCGCTCGAGCGGCGATCTGTGCGGGCGCAGGCGACGTCGCCGCTGACGTGTTTATGAGCCGCCGGGGGACGCCGCCCTCCGACAACCTTATTGTTTTAACAGCCTCTTACAAATTTACGAGTCCACGTAACATCCTGCTTCGTGCTAATAAATCCGCCCACACAAAAACTACCCATGTGCGCCCAGATTAGCTTGAATCACTGTTTGTTTAAACAAGTAAGTTTGTTATTTGCATAGGTTTATATTTTTTATGGATCGAACTCTAAATATTTTGTAATTTGTAATCAAATAGAAATAAGCAAACACTAGTCTTTTGATTAGTATGTCTAACAGTTTTTTAACCAAACGAACGATTAAGCATTATTTAATTGACTACTTTAAATATTAAATTTATGTTATATGTGCCTCATAAATGGGTAGAAAAATAATCCGAGAACGATATAATATGTTAATACGAAAATAAATTGTCTGTTATGATTATGACCATCGATGTATAAAATTACAAACGGATATTCTTTAATATCGTCAAAACATCGACTTACTGAAGAGTAATCTGTCGAATCAGTGAGGCGTGGTTCGTAAGAAAACTGTCAAAAGAAATAAGTGTGGAGGCAAAGAAGCTGCGCTGAACGTGGACACGCGATATACGAAGACATGTAAGTAATCGGAGAAGGCATTGTGCGGGCGCGCAGTGCGTTGCGACCCCCGCCGCACCCCTTGCCCCGCCGCGCTTTCACACGCCTGCGCACAGGTGTCCGGTGTCGCCCTTGACGCTGCTCCCAAGTTCGCCGCAGACATTCATGGTGCACTGGTGCACTACCTCCCTACCTCCTAACATAGCCAAAACAATTAAGTCGCTGAGGCTGACCCACCAAAGTTACGGATATAATAAAACAAAAAACAAATACATTAAAACTGAGTCTTTTGAGACATAAAATACAAAATTCCTTTGTGTTTAGACATTAATTCATTCTATGTAATATCGTCAACAAATGAAAAAATAAAACTTAACTAACATCGAGATAAGCTAAAAAACCTTGACATTAAACTTGACTCGACCGCGCGAATTAATGGCTTCCATGTTTTTATTTTCCTTGAGATTTAATTTATAGGCAGTGGTTGTGGCCGCGGCGTCACTCATTACAAATGCTACAGGCCTCACTTAAGTAATGTTAGAATGTATAAAGTGTCATATATCAGCGCTGTTTACTTCGAGGCAAACGATTAATAAGTAAGCGTTTCATTGATGACGTAACTCCCTAACTAATCGGTTAACGTGTAACATCAATAAACACAATCCATATATTATTTAACTCATTCCGCAAGCATGTATAAAAATACCATAATTTAAGGCTCTACGAAAGGCACGCCTGAGAAATGTATTGAAATTGCAATGATATGAATATCGCAACTTTGTAAAGTTATCAAAAACAATAATTTTCTAAGGTAAACGGTTGCGCTGGCGCAGGCCGAGGTCCATCGTGCAATTAACATGCTAATGAGCACGGTCCCCGATATCATCGCTGTAATTATGTCCGCGCGCGACTATATTGTAAGATTGCTTGTATGTCTAACCTTTTTGTGGACATCCGACACGCGTATTTTGTGGGAGCCGAGCTACATCTCTGAACTTCTTAGTTTATGCCTATCAAAATGACAGCGACAAAACAAGCAGGTGTTTCTAAGAGATTTCTCACGAATTTTAACGATTTCCTGTTACTCGGCCTCATAGAGCTCATCGTGTCAGATATCTTTATTACATAGTTTCATTTGCCTGCGTCGTTGCGTCGGGGAAACTTCACATTTACTTTTATATCTATAATCTGGTTAATGTCGGAATGTGTCATTACAGGTAGCGTAATATAAAGCTGTGAGCAGATCGCGCCGCGTCCAAGCTTGCTAGGCCTGCTAGGCGGCGCGGTGGTGCGGTGGTGCGGTGGTGCGGCGCCAGAGGTGTTTATTTTTAGTCGCAGCGATTGATAGGTTCACCGGTCGGTGTGGGCCGTGGCCGTCGTGCGCGTTATTTATGCAAATGTCCTAACGAGATATAATGGTGGTGCGGCGGGGTGCGCGGGTGCGTCTCCGCGGTATCTGCCTGCAGCACGGTAATTAGGTGCTGCGTGCCGGCCGCCCGCCACCGCCCGCCACCACACGCAACCTCTCCGCCATGTTTCTGTGTCGCCTCGAGCACGACTCTGTTTTTGCTCGGGTATCGTGTCTTAAACCCTTGTAGGCGCTACTACATACTGTATACTTAGCAAAAACTTAACAGTCATTGTTCTTCAAATTATCTCTTAGTTTGATAATTACATAAATACTCACTTATCAACTCACGCAAGATTAAACTCTGTTGATTAGTAATAAATGTCTATAATCATGAAACATTACTCACCAGCATCCAATATCCTCTGTTTGACAGAGTGTTGTCTGCCGTGCCAGAACTGCCACGCTTTGATTTCATCTTCAGGTGATTTTTCTTCTCTGAACATTAACATTACTACACTCTGAAACAAATGAAAGAAACACTGTTAATACAAACAACTTTTTAAGTTGCACAATAAATTTACAAAGTGGAACTGTTAAATAAGTAATTTCCTCTGTAAATAAGACGGTATATAAATTAACACGCAGGGTGGCCATTAGAAACACCTGACATCGGGCAGCTATGCCTCTAGTTTATTTATTGCCAACTTTTAATGGCGAAAGTACAGACGAAGCGCCGTGAGCATTTCGCGAATACGCAAAACGCGATTACCGACGTGCATTTCTCAGCTATTACGTTAAACGAGCGTGATTACGTCGTTACAGTCGTATCTTAATTTCATACGCATTTAAATGCTTTTAAAAAGTAACGTGAAACCTTAACAACGTTTCCGTTCAGGTGAAAAAGTGAAATATGCTGTTAAGACGATTTCTATCGACGCGTTAGAAAATGAAGTGCAAAAGAAGTGGCTTGTGCAAGGCGTGGTACCGACCGTGCCTTATAGGGCTAACGACGAGAAAGCACCTCCGAGCGTCGCCTTGGATTGATGGATCGCCGCGACGAGACATCATGCCCAACTGCGCTGCTCCTTCCTTCCTCCCTGTACCGTTGTCTTTCAATTGCATCATACATTTACTTAAAACATTCCATTTTAGATAAATGACCTCAGCATTGATAAAATTTTAGATACGTTCTTTTTTTAGACACGTCTGGCATTAAGTGAGCTTGTATTCCTATAAATATTGTATGGTTAAATTCCTATTGACTTATGGACTGCCTTTATAAATATATCTATTAATGTTTGTAACTGCTTCCGCAAGGCCATTTCTAAACAAACACCTAAATTAGTTCATAAATGAGACCAGTTCCCATATTTTTTTATGTAACGTACGACAACGTATGTATTATATACTCGTACTCATACATAAACGCACCCTTCCTCCCCATTAACTACAGCACTTAAAGAAGTGACTCTATAATCGTCCCTGGCTCTAATACTTATTTACAACTTAACTGTGACTTAGACGTTATTATCAAATCATGAATATGCATAGGAAAAGATAAGCTAAATAAGATGAAGTATTCGGCGTCTGCACACGGCAATTACGCTTGCATTGCAATTAAATACAGCAAGGACTCGCGGTTACAGTGTTGGCTGGGGCCAATAAAAACACAATTTTACTGTAAATCGGTAAATTTACGAGTAATTTGTGTCGGCGAATAGTTCAGCGAGTCTATAAGCGGGACACGGGCTTTCTCCGGAGATCGGGCGCGACGCGTAAACCCAACGGAACCGTGCATACTATTAGATAGCCCATGTATAAAATTGTAACGGTTTACACCGCCTCTACGAATCGTCTCATCGCTTATAATAAATAAATATAAACATTTACTACTTTATTAGAATTCCGCGTGCCAGAAAACATTTGACGAAATACATAATGTTAACTGTAAACTTGAATTAGCTAATGTATATCGTCGATGGTATTCAAATCGGATCTTAACATAACAAGCCAAACGTGGGGTTTATGCCACTGTTTTATTTTTATTGTTCTTTATGTTTACTGTTTATTTATTTGTTGTAGATAATCGCCGACTTAACTGGCCACTTTTGTTTATTGTATTGGAACTAATGATTCATAAACACTTGCTAACTAATATAGAGTCCAACTAGTAACGATTTACGTAATTTAGTGCCTATTTTCTGGTTGCAATTGGTACTGAACAATGTTGGCTATTGTTGCATGACAAAGATACATTGTAATAACTGGCAATCATAATTGTTTGACTTACCGCACAATTTATCAGGGACAGGCTTTATTTTGATTTCATTAACGAGTTTAATTTGACATTATGTAGGTACAAGTTTGTGGAGCTTATTGCGAAAACCATAAGACCGGCAACAATTGCATTAAGATTTAACTAATCGCTGCTTGTATGTTAATTCACTTCGTTTAAGAAGTTTCGTGGGATTGGAATGTAATGTAGATGTATGTTATTTAATTCAAGATTAGATAGCTTTAATTTATTAATTTATATCTCGTTTGTGTGTTTATGAGATAGTTTTTTTAATGTATGTTTCGATTTATATTACAGCATTATTAAATGTAAAAATGAATATCAGGTCTTTACTTATTTTATTATATGTTAGGTTTGTGATACATTGTTCAGCAGTTGATTTACAAGTAGAAAAGTGAGTACCAACTACAAATTAATTTAGAACAGTTATGGATACGAGTTATTAAATTCTAACTATTTTTACGGCACTTAGAGATTACCTATAATGTATATCCAAGTAAGTATCTAATCAAATTACCGTTCACGACTATTTGTATGTAATATAATAATTTTGTTTGTTTACATTATTAAGACGCGTCTTCTAAATTCCATAGTTTAATTATTATTTTAAAAAAATAATTCATGATTGCGTTAAAAGTTGTTATTTAGAGGCATAATAATTTACTATTTAGACAGCGAGTCGAATGATTGGATGGTTCCGTCATGTTGACGGTCGACCGTGCAGGGCGGCGAGCGAGGTGCGTGGGCGCAGCGCTTGTTCCATCCGTTAATTGGATTTTTAATCCGAAATGACAGAATTATGTGTTGTACCACAAACTTATATCACGTCCAATACATAACTGTAAATAATATTTCACTAGCAAGCGACACACAACTAAAGCACATTTAAAATTCAGATAACAATCGAATATTTCGTTGATAAAATATATGTATATGTACATATATTTATTAATTTATTTTAAACAGATTAGAATATTATTATTTCAGATCGGTATTAATATCAACCATAAATTAATTATTAAAATAATATTTAGGTATAATAGCACGTAATAGAATATGAGCTGACATATTGATATTATGTAGGTACATATATACCTATGTTATAAAGCTTAAGTTGGCGTTAAATTGTATCATGCGCAGACATGTTGTATACGTATCGAATGCAACACACGGATTTCACAAGAGCATCTACAGTTTTGGCTTCGTGGACCAGTTACTTCCAAGTTTTCGGACCGTCAATTAATTAATCGAGTGTATCGACATTCGACCCGATTTCAGGAGCTCGGTTGACAATCTGAGTTATCTGATTAAGCACGCTTTCTCTCGCCGTGTGTGACACACGCCAGAGACTGTTGTGCCCAAGTGTCGGCCGTCGATGCGATTACGCTCCGACAACCACTCTGCATTAATTTCGTCACTCTATTTGAATAAATAACCGATTGCATATTTATATCACATACAGATACACGCAATTCCAACTGTTCACGTGGCAGCTATCGACTTCATAAATCTTATCGTGAATAGCCAATACACTAATAAATGTATATTTTTATAATCTATTTAAATTGTGGTACGTTTTAGACAAGCAGTAATACATTTCCTTATGCATAGAATTTAATTTTTATAAAAATATTTATCTGATAATAACGGATGAAGGTTCAGCATGAAGGCATGAAGTTAGTGTAATAAAAAGCAATTCTTATCATAGGGAAAACCTCACTTTTGATAACAATGATTTACAAACATGGAATTTACTGCATGTTTATGTTTCAGTAAGCTCTTACTATCAAACGACAAGGCTAACTCTCGGCTGGAGGCGAGATAAATGATCTAATTAAGTATAGCGCCCGAACATGTATTCACTTTATTCCTATATTGACGTCTATTTCTCATTGATGCTGTTGTTGTTGTCGGCAACTCCACAAGAGCCACTTTCCACCTGTCTTATTGTTGCCTATAAATCGTAACTTAATAGCATCGTTAACGTAACAATTACTTCGGATCTAATCTTGAGTTACGTTCTTGTGCATAAACGCATAACAGGGTAGTGAGGAGCAGTCGTCGTGGCCTCATCGGTTCACTAACGTATTCGCGTCAGAAACGTAAATCCGCGAGTCGGTGCGTATGCACAACCCAGTGCAGTGGTGGGTTCTTGGTCGTCACGAATGCTTCCTCGTTAGTCGGCGGCCGGGCGCGGCGCCCATCCATCAGCCCCTATCTATTTTATGACAATTATTTATGTTCACTGCGTGGCAAAACTATTTCGCTCACCGTTGAGCTTTATCGATAGCGCAGAAGTAATGTCCTGCCGTCTCGATAGGCTATATCTGATACGGATACGTCTGTTTGTTAAGTGCGCTAGTTGTCTGTGCTAGTTGTTTTAACGCCTAGGTTATTTGCTGTGAATGTTCTCTGCAGTGAATGTCGGTTTCGACATAAATTCTGAGCGAAACTGTGGGTGTAACTGCCGCGCAGTTGCCTACGTGTCGGTATTTATTTCACATCAGGTGAAATATATCAATGACCATTTTTGTCCCGTAAACAAAGCGATAACAGCACAAGTATTTCCTTTCCTCGGACTTTTATTCCAACGGCCCTCGTAGGCGCTAACTAGAGGAATATTCATGTAGGATTTTATACTGTGCTTTCTAATCTTAATCTGAGATGGGAAGATAGGTTTCGCAATTACTTATCGATATACATTGTATAAAAGCTGAAGAATATTCAAATTAAGTATAATAGTCATGCAGTAAAAACACTTTAAGTGTTGGAGGCGCATATTATAGGCGCAATATGTCGTGTGTGCATGTATTGGCAGCGCAGCGCCCGGCGCCCGCAGTCTGCAGCGCGCCGCGAGCTACGGGAGATTGCTAGAGATGTGCAGCTTCCGCCGCCGGACAAATTGCTCAGTGTTCCCGCGCATCCGCCGCACTACAACCATCTAACTATAATTGAATATTAACCACATAAGACTGTATTAGCTGCAATATATCTAGGTAAACGTGATATTATCGTGATCGCGTGAGAACAGCTTATTCGTAAACCAACTTCGTAATGACAGATTCATGTCTATACTATTTTTCAAATTAAAACGCCCATTTACATTTGCAGCGTAAGAGAAGTAGCTGTTGTAAATGAATGGTTACAGAACTTATTGATAGCTCTAATAGTTGCGTTGCGCAGTGCGCGTTGACCGCTAAATCTCGATTAAATCGGAGCAAT